CCCCAGAGTTCAGTACAATTGCTGGTTTTCAGTTAGAATCGATCATTTTAGGAAGTCCATTCCCATTCATGGTTAATGAAATGGGGGAAGTGTGGTTGACCCGTCCACTTGATGCAGAGATAGATCCGCAGTCATTGAGCTTCCATGTTTTTGCATCGGACACTTCCGGCCTTATATCCAAGCCAATTACTATTACCATTCATATTGAAAATGTGAACGACAATCAACCACGATTTGAGAGAAGCTATTTTGAGATTGAAGTTGATGATACAATCGAGACAGGCACTGAGATTTTTAAGGCTATAGTATATGATAGGGATATAGGAGTCTATGGGGAAATTACATTCAGTCTGTCGTCCATGGACATTCCTTTTCAGGTAAATCACACTGATGGCCGAATTACAACTACTAGACCCTTTGATGCCGAAACAGAAGAAGTAACAAGATACATGTTTGACATTATAGCAACTGATGGTGGAGGCATGTCAAACTCTGCGCCAATTACTATTGAAGTTATTGATGTGGCATCCACATTGCTATTATTCACGCAGAGCCACTACAACATCTGCATTAGTGAAGGAACGATGTTGGGTAGCACTGTACTGAATCTTCAAGTTGTTGATGGAAACGGTGACAGAAAGAGCAATAGCAGTCTCAGCTTTAGAATTGAGTCACTTGAAGACCATCAGCCAAGCTCCCCACAGCTGCCATTTGACGTTCTTCAAAGTGGTGCAATTGCTACAAGTGGATATCCTACAGACTATGAGTCTGGATTGAGGGTATTCTCATTCATTGTTCTGGTGACTGATGGAGAAATGGAATCATCACCACTACCTGTATCAGTCTGTGTTGAAAATGTCAATGACAACCCACCAGAATTCATTCCAAGTGCTATTGTGCTAGAGGTAGTCGAGAACAAGGCAATGCACTTGATGGATTTTGCAGCTGTTGATGTGGATATGCTTGAAACTGATCTAGAGTACACCTTTTTGGGTAATCAACATGGCTTCCATTTGTTCAGGAATGGTAGTTTATTTGTTCAAACACCTCTTGACTTTGAAGATCAAATCCAATACCTCCTCATGATCCAATGTAATGACTCTGTTCACTTATCAACACCCCTGAATGTGACTGTAAATGTTATCAACAGCAATGACCATGCTCCTGTGTTTACCCAGCCTTTATACAACATTCAGGTGTTGGAAAATGAGCCAAATGGCACATTGCTGGCAATGCTAGAAGCAGTAGACGGAGATGCAACAAATGTAGAAGGGCCTCTACCACCGTTTGCAACTGTAGAGCAATACATGATTTTACAAACTGATGTTCCTTTCACTATAACTGTTAATCCAGTTCTGCATGTCAGTTATGTAAGGACGTCACGAACACTAGATTTTGAAAGCGACCCATGTTCCTACAATCTTACTGTGATAGCATATGATGGAAATGGAATAAGATCTTCCAACGAAGCAGCTATTTTCATCACATTACAGAATGTGAATGACAATCCAATATTCTTCCCACAACATTCACTGGAATTCTTTGTCCAGGAAAACTTTGTTGGAAATATTGGTTTGGTGGAAATATTAGACAGTGATCTAACCACAAAAGAATTTTGTGAGCAAACAACAGTTTTGCAGTTGCCGGTGTTTACTGTATTTGCCTTCAGCTTAGAAGCTAACGCGGCTAGTATAAGCGATGAGGGAATGTTGTCACTATACTCTCCACTGAACTACGAGTCATCACCAAGGACACACACTCTTATAGTGCAAGTTCATGATGGACTTTTTGGATATGTTACTGAAGTTAAAGTTCATGTTTTAGACCAAAATGAATTCTGTCCAGAGCTTACAAGTATGTTTTTAAACTTGTCCCTGTCAGAGATGTTACCAATCAGAACGGAAGTTTATCATGTAAGGCCAGTAGATGCTGATGGTAGTACGGAGTATAATACTTCTGTGTTTGAGATCAGCCAATCATCATCAGCACCATTTGAAATCACTCACGAAGGAATTCTGATTCTGAATGAACTACTTGATTATGAAAGCGGCCAGATATTACTGTCATTTATGATTGATATTCATGATAACAGCAGTGAGAAAGCATCAGGAAATGGTATTGTCTGTGATAGTGTTCAGCTTGAAGTCCAAGTTAGTGTTATAAATGAAAATGATGAACCTCCATACTTCTTGGTGGAAAATAATTTTTTTCCAGTAATAGAATCAGCCGAGCCAAATACCATAGTTGGGCAACTACCTGTAGAAGATCCAGATGTTTTAACAAGTGAAGGTGAATTTGTTTTCATGATTCAATCTGTTTCTGTCATTCCTTTCAACATTACACCTACTGGTCAAATATTCCTGACTGAAGTGATTGATTTTGAAATGCAGGAGGTGTATTCATTTCAGGTTTATGTATCTGATGGAATATACTATTCACAAGTACCGGCCAACGTCAGTATAATGGTACTTAATGTGAATGAGCACTCTCCTGAGTTTGTTGGCACTAGTCACTTTATACTAACAGAGAACACTTATGAAAGTTTTCGTATAAATGTTGTCGATGCTGACAATGGAGCTCTTGGTGCCATAGAAAGATTTTCAATAGTCGGTGCTCAAAGTGAATACTTTTCTGTCAGTAATGATGGTATTGTTAGAAATGCAATTTTATTTGACTATGAAAGCGATTCCCACATGCACATGATTACGGTATGTGCATTTGATGTTGGTGGGCGTAATACTTGTGACGCCTTCACATTGACAATAGCCGACATTAATGATATTCCACCTCAGTTCTCAAGATCATTGTACTCAACTAGTGTTTTGGAAGGTACTGTTATGGTAACCTCAGTTAGAGTTATGGCCATTGACCATGATTCGACTCCAGAGTATCGCACAATTGTGTATTCATGGGATCAGTCTTCAATCAGTTCAGCTAATCAATATGGTGTGACGATAAACCGGACTTCAGGTTTGATTGCATTAGGAGGAGTGTTTGACTATGAGGTAGACCCTGCAGAAATTTCACTCATAGTCAAAGCATCTAATCAAGATGGGTTGTTTTCAACAGCTAGGGTTGTAATCGCTGTGGAAGATAGAAATGAATTTGTTCCACAGTTCCCACAGAGTCACTACCATATTCCCGTTTCTGAAGCTACCCCTGTAGACTACGTCCTTTTCACATTTAAAGCAATGGATGAGGACAGAGGACCTGTGTATGGTGAAATAACAAACTACCGCATGAGCTCCTCCAGTAGCAATGTTCCTCTGCCATATACAATTTCAACAAATGGATATCTTGTCCTGGCGGAGGTGCTAAACTATGAAACTGGTATTAGAGAATACAATTTCTCAATAATAGCCACCGATGGAGGGGGTTTGAATTCCCAAGCTGTCACTGTAACTATTGCAGTACAGAAGAGCCAGAACGCACCTCCGGTGTTTCAGCCAGATCAATACACTGTCTCGGTTGCTGAAAATTCTGTCCCTGTTGATCCACTAGTAACCCTACAGGTTGTCACAGAATCTTTTCTCACTAAATTCACTATACTCGGTGACAATGAATTACATCGTGATTATTTCAGCATATCAGACAATGGCTCTCTCTTCCTAATCAGGCCTTTTGACTACGAACTTATGCAGTCAACAACTGTAAGGATATCTCTGTCTGATGGAGTACTGGATTCTTTTGTACCAGCATCAGTGTTTGTAACGGTTGATGCTGTAAATGACAACAGCCCCAGTTTTGAACGACTATATCATGTGCTGCAGGTAGAAGAAAACCTGCCTCAGCAGTCAGTAAGGGCAACACTAACTGCAACTGATGCTGACATTGATAATGGACAATCCAGGCATGGAGTAGTTACATCATACGAGCTCTTAACACAAAATGTCCCATTCATGCTGGTGTATAATCCTGATGATCAAACTGCCACCATCACAAATTCAAGGCCCCTTGATGCTGAACAAGACCTTACCTTTTACACATTGCGTGTCAATGCTTTTGATGGAGAAGGAACTCCTTCAGATATACCAGTGGAAGTGACTGTACAAGTAGTTGATGTTGATGACAATGCCCCGCAATTTCAACAGAATGCTTATGATGCAAGTGTTGATGAAAACTATCAAGGTGACATTATTACCATCACTGCAATTGATAGAGACAGAGACACTAAAAACAAGAGATTTTCCTACCAATTAACTAGTGAGCTGTTTCAAATTTCAAGTGATGGTACAATTATCAGTAGATTTGGCCTTGATTATGAAGAAGATGAGCCATACTATGTGCTTAGAGTTCAGACAAGTGATTGTAGTGTCCCTCAATGTCAGGCAGTTGTTAACATCTCTCTAATCAACACAAATGATAATCCTCCAATATTCTCAACTCAAAGCTATTATTTCAATATGTCTTCAGACATTAACCCGTCTATTGGATATGTGATAGGGTCAGTAGTTGCAACAGACGCTGATAGGAGTGAAGCATTTGGATCTATAACTGACTACAGAGTAAGAGGTGCTTCTGGTCCATTTTCGGTCCATTCTAATAGTGGAAAAATTGTTGTACACAATCCATATCAGCTGCGACAAATAGAAGGATTATTTTCCTTTGTTGTAGTAGCAAGGGATGGTGGTGGACAATATGCCGAAGCATTGGTTTACATTTTAATCCCTCTCTTTAATACCCATCCACCGATATTTGAAAGAAGGCTGTACTACACTTCATGGGAAGAGAATACATTTAACATATCTCTACCAGGGCTTCCACCTAATGCTATCTTACTAGTACAAGCACAGGATCTGGACAGGAATACACGTATAATGTACAGTCTTACCGAATCATCACAGTACTTTGCTATGTCGGCAGATGGTGTCCTGGTTCTTAAAGAGCCTTTGGATCGGGAGGAAGATGATGAGCACATTCTCTTAACTAGAGCGTATGATGGCAAATATAATTCTACTTTTGATGCTGAAATCAGAGTGCGTGTCATTGATCAAAATGATAACCGCCCCCATTTTAATCCTCAGATTTATTACATGAATGTGTCTGAATCGTTAACTGCATTATCATTTCCAATAGGGCAAGTATATGCTCAAGACAGTGACAATGGAGCAATTTGTCTCTTTTCAACATTTATACCAAATGATATAATAACAGTAGACAGTATGGGTTATGTGTTTCTCACAAGGTCCTTAGATTATGAGCAGGACTCACAGTATGATGTTGCCATCAGAGTCAGTGACGGAGAACTTGAATCTGTACATCCTGGTCAAATAATAATCAACGTTATTGATGAAAATGATCACAACCCTGTGTTCACTCAACCAGTATTTCATGGAAGATTTCCAGAGAACTCTTCTCCAGGAACTTTATTTATTGATGTCTTGGCAAGTGACATGGACACAAGCCCTATGAATGGAAATATAGATAGGTATGAAATTCAAGAAGCAGGCCTTCCATTTTACATCCAGAATATACCTGATGGAAGTGCCATAATATCCAACTCTCGTTCAATGGACTATGAAACAAACAGACGTGATTATGTGTTGCATGTTCATGCATTTGATAGTGGAGGATTACGTTCACTGTTTCCAGCCCAGGTGATAATCACACTACAAGATGTTGATGACTGTGGACCACGCTTTTCTCGGGCAGAATATCATGCCAGTGTGAAAGAAAACAATCCCATATCAGTGTTCGTCATCTCTTTGTTGGCTAGCGATTGTGACATAAGTGTCCCATTCAGAGGCATCCAATATAAGGTTGCAAATGGACAAGGACTGGTGCACATTGACCCGACTTCTGGTCAAGTTACAGCTGCAAAGTCGTATGATTTTGAGTCAGATCAGAGTACAACAATAATTGAAGTGAGAGCACATTCACTACATAATGTATCCCAGTACGACACTGCATTGCTCTACTTGAGCATTTCAGATACCAATGAGCACAATCCTGAATTTGTTGGCCTGCCATACATGGAAATTATTCCTGAGACTACTGAGATAAATGAGCTTGTGTTTCAGGTACAAGCATTTGACCGAGATGGAGGTGAAATATATGGGGTGGTGTCCAAGTACTGGATGCTACCTAATCGCATAAATGGCTTACCATTCAGGCTCAATAGCAGCAGTGGAGAATTGTTTTTGACTAGGGCTCTGGATTATGAAAATGGTGATACAGGTTTTGATATTACAGTAGTAGCTATAGATGGAGGATCATATTTAGCAACAGCTACTGTTAGTATTTCAATACTGAATGAAAATGATGAAGAACCATACTTCCTCACCGAAGAAGAACACAACATTTCCATTCCAGAGGAAACTTTCCCTTTCTCTATACATGGACTACCTGATAATGTTCTCTTCCACGTTAAAGCATATGATAGCGATCTTTTGGAAGATGGATACCTATATTATAACCTTTCCACCTATGAAATATTTTCAATCGATTCTAGTGGGTACCTCTATCTCACGGTTCCTTTGGATTATGAGGAGAAAGACCAACATCAAGTCACAGTTAGTGTTGGGGATGGAGTATTCGTGGCAAGAACAACAATATCAATCCAAGTTCTAGTTGGGAACATCAATGACCACCCCCCAGTATTTCATAGTTGCCTTGATGGCTGCTGTGAGACTGTCCAAGCGAAGCCGTTTTTGTATTTGAATATTGACGAAAACAGTGTACCAGATGCTCCACTGTCAGTATTTTCGGCATGTGACATTGATGGTGATGTTCTGGAATATTATATTCTCAACTCTACTTATGATGCAGTTGAGATGAGAGGAAGTGAACTCCATCTTTGGAGACCACTTGACTATGAAATACATCCCATGGTTCACATTTATGTTGGCTGCTATGATGGTAAATACAATTGTACCAATTTTGTATCAGTGGAGCTGCTGGTATATAATGTGGATGACAACCATTTGATGTTTGAAACTGAGTACTATGAGATTAGTATCAATGAAAACATTAATCCTGGAGATCTACATGTTGTCATATCAGCAACAGACAGTGATCTACCAACGCTGGATATCCTATATGCAATTTCATCGTCTGGTGTCAATCCTTTTCCTTTCCAAATTGTTGAAACTGAAAACGGATCTGCATTGACCAATACTGAGTTCTTAGATTTTGAGTCAGGAAATCAAACTTTTCTTTTTAACATCACAGCACAACCCCAAGACACGTTGATGTATGAGGAACCAGCTGTGGCTAGAGTAAATATTTCAGTATTGGATACAAATGAGTATTCACCTGAGTTTTCGTCACCAGTGTATACCAGTAGTTTCCCTGAGAACACAGTTGGTGTTTTGGTCGATGTTAGTGCAACAGATAGAGATTCTGGTGAGGTGTTCGGAAATGTCAGTTATAACATCATTCAAAACCCAACGTTATTGTGCTCCATAAACAACAATGGGGAAGTGTTCAATCAATACCCGCTGGATGCTGACATAGATTTCCCTATGCACCGTATATTGGTGGAAGCAGTTGATGGTGGAGGACTAACAACTACTGCTGAAGTGGTAATAGAGGTTCTGGATCAGAACGACAATGGGCCACTTTTTTATAGTAGTGTTTACACTGTGACTATTCCTGAGAATACTCCCGCTAACACCACTATACTTGCAGTTGGGGCAAGTGACTCTGATCACTCCCAGAAGTTTAGCACCATTTCACGTTATGATATCACAAGCATACACTCATATCTTCCATTTTCTATCAATCTGGAAGGAAGTTTGTCTGTTACAGGGACACTAGACTTTGAGGTACAATCGGTATTCTCTCTCACCATTAAAGCAATTGACTCTGGAGGTCTTAGCAGTTCTCCTGCCATAGTGAATGTCAACATTGAGAATGTCCCTGATGAACAACCCGTTTTTCTAACTGTTTCATATGCTGCTTCCCTTGCAGAAAATTCCCCATTAGGTACCATTGTGTCTCGTATTCAGGCTCATTCCACTGATGGTGGAGAGCTACGATACTCCCTAATATCTCAGAGCCATCAGCTACCTTTTGCTATAGATGTTTTTTCGGGAGTTGTTACTGTCAATGGGTCCATAGATTTTGAAAAGGTGCAAAACTATAATATGATTATATCCTGTCATATCTCCTCAAACCCAAGCATATATTCAACAACAACGTTATTAGTGGATGTAACAAACGTGAATGACAATTCCCCTATCATTGGGAGATCTACATATCACACCACCATAATGGAGAATGCTCCCCACCGGTCAATGAGACTGCAAATCGATGCTTCTGACCTTGATGCTGGTAATGCAGGATCTATCATGGACTTCCAGCTTTTATCAAGCTTTACAGGCTTCTATGTGATAAATGTTGATCCCAATGGCACAGCAATTATATCAAATTACAAATCATTTGACTTTGAAGCACAACAGTCAATTGTTTTCAGTGTTATAGCAATTGATAGAGGGAGGCCATCAAGAGTTTCAAGGCCAGCTATGGTTCAGGTTGATATATTGGATGAAAATGACAATGCACCCCGATTTCTTCAGGAACTCTACAGCATTGCAATTCCAGAGAGTGCCACAAATCATGTGCTTACCGTGTTAGCAACTGATAAGGACAAGGGTGACTTATCAGGAACTGTAGTCAACTATCGACTAATACCATCCACAGTTCCATTTTATGCCACTGAGAATGGATCAATATTTGCTACTGATTCCTTGGACTACGATGAATTTGGCGCAAGTGAAGTACCGTTGTATGACTTTTCTGTGGTTGCGTATGACTCATTTGGTGTTTCTAGTGAGCCTGCTCAAGTCATTGTCAACATAATAAATGAAAATGATAATGCACCAAGTCCAATGTATGAATCAGAGTGGCCAGTGAAAAGTGTTGAAATTGAGTGGGGTACACCTGTATCATTGCTACCCATTGTTTCATTGAGGGCTGTTGATAGGGATAGAGATGACAGTTTGTATTTCAAGCTCAGCAACACTGATGCCCCACTCAATACCCCGTTGTCATTACTACACATGGCTAGTGGAGATATGGTACTTCATAGACCCCTAGCAAGCCTTACAACCTACAACATGACCGTCACTGTTCAGGATCGACACCCACTTCTCCACTCTCCGGAAACTAGGAGTTTGGTTTGGATTTTAACAGTCACAGTGGTGGATACGAACAGCCCTCCATACTTCAGTCCTATCCAACTAACACACACACTCACTGTTCCTGAGGGAGAACCACTTGATCGTACGCTCTTACAGTTACTTGCAATTGATGATGATTATCCGGGATCCCTGTTCGCTGAGATAGTAAATTATTACATTATCCCTTCAAACAACTCTGTTTATGTGCCCTTTACTATGACAACTGCTGGTGAACTAAAACAAACTGCTCAACTTAGTGTTGGAAGTTTCACCCAGTATGAATTTACTGTAGTGGCTGAGGATGGTGGGGGACTCAGGACACCTGATCCTGTTGCTGTAACTGTTCAGGTAGAAGAGAGTAATGATTTTGCACCTGCAATATCAGTGAGTCAGTTGAGTTTCATAGTCTATGATGATACCCTTCCAGGTGATGTAATATTTTCCGTAACAGTTACTGATGAGGATGAAGGAGCAAGTGGTGTATATGAGTGCACTTTCCAAAAAGTAATTTACCTTTTTGAAATCAATCCAAGCTCCTGTGTCGTGTCACTGAGATCTGAACTAAATTACAGTTCACTCATTGTTACCAATTTCTCGCTTACCGTCATTGCTTCAGATTTTGGGACTCCACCACTGAGCGATTCAGTAACAGTGAATATCAATATTGTCCCTGCAGTGATACAAGTGCTCAATCTCATTGTTAATGTCACAGATGTGACATACACCGAAGAACAGGGTCCAGTTGGAGTACTTAACAACTTTGATCTTCTACAGGGAACACATAATCGACCAAAATACATAGCGACAATTGTTTTGACACCCGAAATAATAACACCTGATGAATTCTCAACAAACTGCAATAAAGGTGGAAATGCTGTTAGTTTACAAGACTGTTTCCCAGGATTTAATTCCTGTTTACCTACAAACAGTGATGAAGTCATTCACTTTTCTCAAGGAGTGCAATATCCTGCTCTCTCCTTGGCTGTTCCTCCTGATTCTGAGGTAATAGTGTTCCAATCTTGGGTAAACATTGGCAGTAATGGTTCTGAGTCTACTGTGATTGTATCAGGCTACTCAACAATGTCAGATGTTGATGATAATGTCTTTTATATTAGCATGAGTCAAATATCAATAACAGTGAAAGTGGGAAATGCATTGAACTCTGAAGGTATTCAGCTTAGCAACAACACATGGCACCATATCCTTGTTGTTATAAGGCTGTCCTCTGTTCAATTGTACATTGATGGTAAAAGCCCACTTGTGCTCGGGAGCAACCAGTTTAGCCTGTTAGCCTCCCTCAATGTGTATGTTGGCCGGCTAAAAATTGGAAGTTATCCTAGACCATTCAGAGGGAGTATGGTGGGACCCTCTGTGTCACTTTCCGATGTCACGAGAATTGATATACCAAAATACACCTTTTGTGCTATGAGCTGTGGAGAGACAGTATTCACTAATTGGTTTGATAAAAATGTTGCAATATCTGTTTCGCCAAGCAGACTAATAATGAGGACAGAACGTTTTGAATCTCTATCAAATGCATTGTTTGGGCTTTCTTATAACAATACAGCCTCTGAGCCTACTGCACATTTGAAACAATTAAGTATTATGGTAACAGATGGAAAGTACAAAACAAATATAACCGTGAGCATTCACACCCTTCTTGTAAATGAACACTCTGCATTTATGAATCTCCAGACTGAAACAAGTAATGTTTTCTTTTATGTGGAGCCATCTCTTGGTCCCTACCCAACTAAAACAACTCCAAATGCAATCTTCACAGACCAAGATACGACACAGACTGACTATGCTTTGCATGTAGATATTGTCCCTCCACCACGTCGCCGGTGTGACAGACTGGACTATGCTGTGAAAGTTAAGCTACAACAATGTGGTAGTACTCCCCCCCTGGTCATGAATATCCTTCCTGATTATCAGTGGGGGCTAGGTACAGTTATAGGGGTTCAGTCCTTTTATGACTACTTCCTTGGCTACCGCTTTTATGGCAGTGGAGTGTTTATACCTGATATGACTATTTATCAAAACTCAAGAATGGATGCTTCCCACTTCACATTTGTTGCTTGGCTAAAGCAGGAGGGAATGGGAACTGTGGCGCACGTAGTTGATACTCTTCAGCCATTCCTATTTCGCCTAAGAGTTAATAGCACTGTGCTAGAAACCGTGCATTCTTTCCACTCAGGACAACAGGCTAACCTCTACTGGGATTGGAGTAGATCCACCGAGTGGGTTCATGTTGCTGTAATTGTTGACTTCCCTCAAATACAGCTATGTATCAATGGATATGACTGTCAAATCAAGACATTTGCTTTGCCGTCCATTCAATCATTTTCCCTTAATAATCTAGATGCTCATGTGGGTGCACTGCCAGACAATGATGCCTACACTGACAACTTCGATGGTTCACTAAGTGGCGTAGCACTAATTCCAAACCACACTATGCCTATTAGTACCATAAATTGCTTGATATCTTGTGCTGAATACATTGTTATCAGCAATTTTGAAAGTTCTACTGGCAGTGCACTTGAATCCCTGACCCAAACCATGAATACAGGCGTTGTTGCAATTAATGGAAGTCTCTTCATTCGTGAAAAGGTGAACCAAACTGGAATTCAAGACTTCCTTCGAAATATTGCTTACATAAACACCCATCCATATCCTTTTCCTGGAGAACGTCAAGTGTTATACTCAGTTAAGGAAGGTAATGAAGGAAGTGAAATAGTTGGAGAAAGTAGCCTAGTAGTTCTCTATCATGGCTATCGAAACCTACAACTCCTACGAATTTTGAGGGTTACTATCACTGCCAGTCAACTTGTGTATGGTGTACATCCCTTTGAAAGCACAGGTATTACAAGTGATGCTAGAACAGATAAGATGGACTCCCTAATGATTGAGCTAACCAGTCGCCCACAATTTTCATCGAGCTGTCTGATTAGTAGTTCGGTGCAGGACTGTCCATATCTAATTCATCTCAACCATAATCTCCTGCACAATTCGACTCTTCATATCATTAGAAAGCCTAATAAACTCATCGTTTGTGGTTTGTCCACTGTTAATCACTACCAGACCCTTTTACGTGCAGTCACAGTGAAATGGGAGAATCCAAACAACATTGTTACATCAAGATCAGAGTTCAAATTGCGTGTTTATATATCAGACACGAATGGGATCTCCTTTACAACAAAGACCTTGACTATCCAGGTTCAAGGTATTGTACGACCCCAGGAGGATGATTCTCCTGAAGGAAGAGTGGGTGGTGGAAGCCTGGCAAATAACTCAACCTCTATCAATACAAAATTCACATCAGATACAAAAACCGAATATTCCAGTAGTGTTTCTAAAGTAATCACCTACCCAATAATCTTTATGTGTTGCCTTTTTGTTTCTTTAACAGTTATCATGTAAAATCAGAATGTTTGTTTCAATATCTATTCACTGTTTAACAAATTATTGTACAAATCTGTGTTGGTCTTTCTGTTTATACATGTGAATATTAACATACTAATCGTTTAAAAACGAAAGTGGTACGACGATTCATAGAGGCTGCATCAGTGTTGTCAAGAGAGTACGGCTACACTAGACTACCTAGACGGGTAGGTAGGTGGCTGACCATAATCACTAGTACTTAGTATTATAGGGATCGATGACAGGTTGTCCTGCATTATGCCCATACATTTGAGATTTTCATGTTTCACTTTCAGTTTCAATCAGATCCAACTTTTGACACATCAGACTGATCCAAAGAGCATGTATCCATTAAATTGCATGATCAGTACTTGATTCAAAAACGTTTTCAAAATGGTTGTTGTTCAGTTTCAACAATCGTATCTCAAAAACCAGGAAAGGAACTTTGCACAGAGATTGGAATCCATGACAGGTCATGCAAGAGCGTTTCAATTGTTTGTAAACAATCTTGTTTACATGTAAAAAAAACAACTCCAACAATTAGCCCCAGGCCATACATTATGATATAGACAATAAAGTGTGCTAATTAGCTAGGTAGAGCAAATACCCTGAATGATAAAACTTCGTACACACATGCAACCCATCATTAGTATCAAAATGTAAACATTACATGTTTGTAAACAACAACAAACAGCCTCAGGGAATAAAAACTTGTATAAATGGTGTTTTTGCCTATAAATCCTCTAACAATGAAACTTGGTACACTGATTCACCATGATAAAGAGAAACAGAAATTACAAGGTTGTAAACAACAACAAACACCCTCAGGCAAAAAAACCTTTTTAAACGGTGTAAGTGCCTATAACTTGCTTATGATGGGTCCTCTAACAATGAAACTTGGTGCACTGATGTAATGTGAATGACGACAAAACGTCGGAGGCGATAGCTTAAAGCCACTAATGTTACTTTTTTTATGGGCTTATGCCCAACTTTCTATTGCACACAATGCATGTGAATGCAGTAATAAAAGGAAAGGAGACAAGTAAATAAAAATTCTTAGAATTAAAAAGTTTGGAATATAGGGATGCCATAAAAAGCAAGGAGACTAGGCAGGAATGACCTAGTGAACGTGATGCAGTAGTACAATGGATGATGGCTACATACTTTGAACTGAAATCGCTTGCTCGTGTAAAATTTCTTCCACATATTGTCGCAAAGTACGAGTGTGCTCCCTTGTATGATGCACAGCTATGATTTATCGGTAAAGAATAGACCTAGGACAGCAATAACCGAAACTGACAATATAGCATGTAATAGGGTCCACATGTGCAACACAATGTATGGGAATTCTACCATATCTTCGTTCTTCTTTAACCTCTCACGCAAGGACAACTTGCAGGTACCATAGGGGAGCCAGCAGTAGCCCTCCATTCTACACACTTCCCTCGACCTCCTACACTATAGTGCGCACGCGCGGGTAGCCTAGCTAATTTTTATTAGGGTTCCCCGCCCGCCCGGCGCGCGATTATATACGACCCGACCCGACCCGACCCGAGAGTATTAGAGGAACGCGCCCACCATCTACTGTCTCTGCATAGAACCATAGGTATCACTCAGCTCAAGACCTCCTATAATATTGTAAGTACGTTGTTACCCTCGTTGGCTCCCTTCGGCGGTTGAGGGGCACCATGACTACTCTGGGGGATGGCGGAGGGCCTTCAGCTACCTCTGTGTACAGCGGAGTACGCAGCAGTGTTAGCGGTGCATCTGACGTACCTGGTGGTGCACATAAACATATTTCCCCGCATATTGGACAGATTGACTCTGGTAAGGAGTAAGGATTAAGTAGAGTTTGTAAGATATGGCAATGAGCACAAAGATAGGGGAGGAGGGGAGTTGAATTGCTGAGGGTGCCTGAGCCCTGCGGTGGATTTAATATACTTTTTTGTACAAGCATGTAGTATAGTACCTTTGTAATGTACAGGTGAGAAAATGGATGCAGATAGAATGGACGAAAAGAGAAAGGAACACATGGCATACGAGTATCTCTGCCATTTAGAGGAAGCAAAACAGTGAGTTAAAAGTAATGTAGGGTGTGAGAAGGTTGAACTGTTGCCATATTTCAGTGACACCCTTTACTTGGTGTTGATGTATGTGATGTCAGTGTTGTTTGCAACTAGTGCTTGGGGTACATGTTGTCTGGTAAGGCCTCCAGGATGTTTTAGTAGGGCTCTGTGTGTGTGTTGTAAGGGTTTACTGAGTAATTGGTTTCCAGTGTAGGGATTGCATCACTATGATGTGCAATACCTCTGCAATGTATGTGTGTTGTACTCTGTTCAGAAGAAGAAAGTGGCGGTTTGTGTCCTGTCTATTGCTTTTTTGAGCCCCCTTGCTCACACTCTATAGAATGCAGCTAATGTTGCTGGTCCATCTTGCATACCATGTGCACAAACATGTCTCTATGAATATAGGCATTCTGTATGTGACACAATATTGCGGGAGGTCCATTTCCTCCTGACCTTAGAGCTTATGCTTTCATCACCAATATACGCATACTCTGTAGTGCCTGAAGTAAAGGCCAATTATTTCACTGTCAGCCCTCATGACGATATTTAGGCTACATTGTTGAATGGCCTAGGCTGGGCCAGAGTAGACTTGCTCTGCATATTAACCCCCGGCAAGCATGCTCAGCAAGGGTTGCAGTGCTTAGCCTATGTCTCTGTTTTCTGTCTGTCTGCAACTATTCTGGCGCTATAGGCTATGAGGTGGCCTATGTATGAGCGATGCAGGCAGCTTGAGAACAACAAAAGCATGATTTTCGTGAAATGGCTGCTTCATGAAATATGGTGTAAAAACCTAATCAGCAACATCTTACTCCATGAGTGGTTGCCTGTTCCATGGAACCAGACGAGTATCCAGTCTAGCATTGCTCCAAACTGATGCTGCTAGAGCATTGCCAGGCAATTATGTGGCATGGCCAAGCCAAATTATCCGCCCTCCTTGCGCATGCATAGTGCAACCTCAGATATAGCTCTATGGTGATGATTTGCACCTTTGTTTTTTGTACATCTTCAAGCCTACTTTTACAAGTGGGTTACCCTCCGTGTGTTGGGTAATGTATTGTGTGGCCATGGTACTCTAATTGGATTTGTACGAACATTCTTTTCCAGTGGCTAAGGGTTCCTCATGGACCTTGTGTTATTAAAAGCCTGCTTTGTATGCTATGGCAAAGGCTGAATAGCAAGTCCAGAATTGCCTCAAACGCTACCAAATTTGTGTACATATATTATAGTGCATTTGTGTGCCCTGTGAGGCTTTACTAAGAGGCCAATAGGAAATTAGTGACTTTCATGATTAATTGTAACTTTGTAATGGTTTATATAGGTGGATTGAAGCATGCATTGAGGATGAGCTGCCTACAACTACAGAACTTGAGGAAGCCCTCAGAAATGGTGTGATACTGTGTCGGCTGGGGCACTTTTATGCACCAGAGATTCTACCTCTCAGGAAGATCTATGACAGAGACCAGGCCAAGTATCATGTACGAGAAATTGTATTTGTGTCAGTGAATTCTGTTCATCAACATTCACACCTTGACACCATACAACACACTTCTCCTCTTCATGCATACATGGGTGGCACACATTTTTACACCTCTATATACCTGCTCCACATGCTGCCAGCATGTTCCTGTTCCTGCGCTTTTACTGCTTCTCCTGCCATGCTAGGAATGTTTACTACAATTGTATGCCCCATTCCATTTAGGCTAAAGGGCTACACTTCAAGCACACAGACAACTTCAACTGGTGGTTACGGACATTGGAGCATGTTGGCCTACCAAAGGTGCAGTGTACATATATACCTCTTATACCTTATTATGTGAAGTGCGTAGTGTATGCAATGCCGGAAGTCAATGCATTCAGTAATGGTACGAGGAGGTGTGTTCATTATGACACACATCTGAGTACAATTATCAAGTACAAAACGTACTCTATGAATTTATGGCATGTGTGGGTGGTTCAAAGACAATGCCATGAACCTACATAGGCCAGTGTAGGGCCAATAACACAGTCTTCATGCAACTAAAGGGCTGCTTATACACACTTATGAGAGCGCTTACCAGGGACCAAGAGGTGGTTCTCTCAATGGTCAGAACAAGCTGTTCTTTGCTAGACCCGGCTGACTAGAGTACTTTTGCCCTTCATCTTTGTCACCAAGCATGCCATATCCACATCCCCATCCCTGACATCACTGTACCTGAATAGCCTCATCTAGTGGATAATTTGGCCACTGGGCAGCATGGGGTTTGCCATGTTCTTTATGACAGATACTGTATTGTGCAGTGATTTTTATTTCCTAAAGCATATGTGCCGTAAGTTATGTTACGATTGTGGGAGAAGCCCGGACAGTTTTAAAGGTGCAGAAACTTTCTCAAGTGTACATAGTTTAGCTAAGCATGTATGTATACATACTCATTTGATCATGTTCTCCAATATTGTTTGCTGAAGCACGACACCATGCCAAAGCCAAAAGCTATTTGCTGTATTATAGTGGTAGAATTTGGCAGCCCCCACGGAGTTTGGCTTGTCTGTATGCTTTGTCCTCGGTGGTGGGCTAAGAAGTGGGTGGAGTTGGCAATTGCTATGCTTATTGTTGTTCTAATAGTATAACCACTTGTAGAATCAACTTATGACCTGCCTACAAAGAATTGAAGGTGCTATTCAACAGAGCCGGTCAACACGGGCTAGCTGCATATGTGTAGTATGGTTTAGAGCAACACTGGATTGGGTCGGCGAGTTAGACCACATGGCATGGTGCACCTCTAGTTGTGCTTGAGTTTTTGTGTGCCGATGCTCTGCTGCTGTATGCAGGACATGTGTTCTCCTTTTTCGGAGGGTTGCACTTTAGTACTTTTTCTGCACTTATTTATGAACCCCTATATAATAATTTGTGATTACCAACACTTTACCTGTTTTAAAACCCAGCCACAGATAACTTAAGCAGTGTTTCTTGTGTTGCTTTTCAATACATATACATAGCTGATTTTATATAGATGATGTAGGTAATGCCTGATTGGTGCACTTCTACACTTGTAGTATGTGGCATGTAGTTTGTGCGAGCTTGTTAAACGCACTATATGTCGGCATCTAACTTTATACTCTGTATGCATTGGCAAAAGTGACCATTGCTATGTTTTGCATGATTTCCAGATATTCTACCCCATTACAACTGATCTATACGACAGGAAAAACATGCCGAGGGTTATCTACTGTATCCATGCCGTCAGGTTTGCAAAAGAGTGTGGTAATTATAGCTGAGAATAATTGAATGGTGTTTTTGTACAGTTTGTATCTCCATAAGTTGGGAAAAGCACCCCTAATCGAGGACCTGCTGGGAACAGCTACATTCACAGGTAATCTTCCTCTATTCATAGAGCCTTTACAGGGTTCTCTGTGGGAAGTATTGTGGAGCACCAAGATAGTGATTATGCATTTTCTTGAGTGTGCTGCACCTTAGGTTACCCTTGCTCCACCTTTTTTGCTTAGAGCTTGGTAATTTAAGGAAACCTTAGACTAACATAGATGGTCTCTAAAATCTCGTGCATGCACAGTGGTACACGTAGTTTAGGATGAGTCCTTGACTGTTTGTAAAGGTGGCAGTTGAGACGAGCTTGTCGTTGACATCTTCCCTGAGCCTCTTGTTCAACTTCCCAGTGAGAAAGTAGTGCTCGCTTGCCGTTTCAGTTGCACCGAATTTGAATTGCGAGAATTCATTACCATATGTATAGCTCTAAACAAGTTACATAGGTGCCTCGCCCATGGAAACTACACGCATTAGAGAGCCTTGGGGCCCTTTGTAGTTGGCAGTTCAGTGTCCCTGCTCCTCTCTAATGTGTGTAGTATACTGGGCATATGTATATAGACATCCTACCACTGGAGCAATGCATGGAATGTGGTGTTTGCATGTGTTTCCACATCATTAATTGATATAAAAGCAGGAAATATATCTGTGGCCACCAAAATCATAATGTTTCCTGTTGTTTGTTGTGTCTTTAGAGGAGGAGATCAGTGCCATGAAACTAGCACTAGAGAAGTATGGAATAAATCTTCCTTCATTTGGAAAGATTGGGGGGATTCTTGCAAATGAGGTAAACCTAGTGTGTAGTATGTTCATATACACAGTATGGTGATGGTGGGAGTACACAGAATGATTTGCGCTCAAGGGTACAATATTAAACAGTAACTATTTTCTCTCGTTACAGCTTTCTGTGGACGAGGCAGCAGGTATGGTAACATTTAACTTTGTACTGTATGTGTATAACGTATGTTTCTAAAGAAAGCTAACCTTGTAAAGTGTGCATAAATATCTGAGAGTTTTGTCTAATTAAGTTAAAATAGCCTTATATACTTTATGTTGCAGACCTTGTTTGCACATCTTTGTATAATTGTATAGTATAATGTTTGTAAACTTTAGTTGCATTTTAACATATATAGCAAGCTCCTGAAACATGTACTGCCACCTTTAGTAGCATGTTTGTTTTCAGTACATGCAGCAGTGATGGCCATCAATGAAGTGTTGGAGAAAGAAGACAGCAGTGAAACACTCAAAGCGCTCCGAAATCCTGCAGCCTGTTTGGTTGATGTGCTGGTGGAAAATGCTCCACGTTACCAAGGGACTCTTCTGAAGGAAAAGAGAGACAAGTCTGCTAAGGCTGGAGCTCAGGTTAAACATCCAAGTTTTGTGTGCTAACGTTGTGTGTAAAAATTGCTCCCACTCTTTTATCTTGGTCCTCTGGCAGTTTGTCAGGCATAGAAATAATGAAAAGGACTAAAGTGCAAACCCTCGGCGAACTGCGCATGCGCGGTACTGCTAATGCGTAATACCCACGGTCTTCCGTTAGTAGCTCGCGGAGAGTCTGAACACGGGCTAGCCATGGTAGTAGATAGCATGTAGGAGTCGATGCACGCCCTTCGCTGTGGCTTCTTGTGCCTCCAAGGTACACAGAGCAAGCGGATCAGGTCGAGGTGAGCCAGCATATCGCGTTGATCGCGTCTAATACACACTAATTGATGGGTTGGGCCACGCTACGTGGTCTGGGACTGTGCCAGTTTCTCGCGCTCGAATGCTGTCGTTTCAGAAAAATGTTTTCATGCGCTTGTAGCTCTGAAGTCGTTTGGTATCGCCCTTAGGCCGCCTCGTAGCCTGTAGTGCGAGAATAGTTGTGGACACACACACACACAGAACAACTATACTGTAACCCTCGCTGCGCATGCGCACCGAGGGTTATTATACTGTAATTGCCATATTATTTCAAAGCATTAGTTGATGAACCATTCGCTGATTGTTTATGATGGTGTTAGTTGAATGTTTTAACTATGGCGTTTACAGAATGGTGATGTAGATGACTCACAGAGGGATGTGTACGAATACATGCTTACTCGTGATGAAATACAGAGGGGAGTGACTGAAGTTAACTCCACAGTACGTGCAGAAATTGCAGAGGAAAAGTGTAAGTGAAAAGCAATGTTTCACGTTGAGTATGTTTGGTCTCGTGAGTTGGACATTCATACACTACACAATTTAATGTAGCATCGTACAACTTGTCAGTGTATAATTATACACACCATATATAACAGAGCCTTAAACTTGTGTGAAGGTGTAATATTAGGTATATGGTGTGTTCACACTTGTGCTTCTGCTATATTCACGCACAGTTTACATGCTGGGGTTATGGCTGAATTGTGAGATGTCAAATGTGTGCTTATTCATGCTTTGGTATTTGTAGCATTGTTTTGAAAAGTGCATTCTTACACCGAATCTTAACAGTGTCTGTGAGTAATATGTATGTCTTGTTGTGTTCTCTGCTCTCTTTCTCTCTCTGCAGTTTGCAATGCCATTGGTGAAGTGAATCAGGCCATTGTCGGTGGTGACCTCCAGCAGTTGCTGTACTCACTGCAGAGTGAAGATACTAGACTCAAAGCTATTAACCCAGATAATGTCCAATGGTACATGGATGTATTGTCAAAAGCCATCAAAGACAAAGCAGAGGTGTGTTTTAATTGTTAAGCATTGGGGTTCCAGAATTTTAAATGTATGCCATAGCTGAGATTTGCCTCATTAGATTAAATATAGGGGTACCATATTTTCCGAAGTATGAGTCGCACGGAGTATAAGTCGCACCCATACTTTAGGCCTGTCATACACGGATTTGTATGGTTACTCTATTTAACGCGCACATCCGCCACACCGCTCACGATCGCGCGCGGGGATGGAAGATCACAATGTAGAAGGAGAAATACGAGGGCATCATGTGTACAAGACCGCCTGGACACCAGTGATAGGTCAGATGTTAGATGTCCAGGAAGAGAGCGCTAATGGCCATGACTAATACACAGTTTCCATACTTCACAATGGGAGTGTGGTTGGCCATTTACCATTTTAAGCTTGAAATAAGCCGTGTAGCTGCATCGCTTCGTCGCCATAGAGCCACCTATCGCACGCGGGTACGCGCATGCGTGAAATCGACAGTAACGCCCCCCTTTTCTTGCATCCGCAGTATAAATCGCATGTCGAAAATTTCAAGCAAATTTCTTGATAAAAAGTGCGACTTATACTCCGGAAAATACAGGTCACTGAAGTGTTTCGCACATGCACCGTGAGGGTTACAGTACTCTGTAAGTCAATTCGTCCGTCTGTCTGTAAGTATATTTAAGCACAAGAATTTTGATTTCCTGTTCGATGTATGCTAACATGCCACAACATGAAACTGGGCATGCAGGAATATTTTTGCTTCCAACAAATTTGTCAAACATCGTAGGACGCAAACAATGCAACTATGTGCGGATGCATACACCTTATATTAAGTGCAAACTTTTCTGCTCCAAATGGAATTTATGGGACCCGAACTCATGTTGGTTTTAACGAGACATTGAAACAAAGCCTAAAAATCCGAGAAACCTTTTCCTTGTCTTGTTTTTTCTGATGCAACACTGTTTTTAGCACTATGCTGAAGGGAATATGTGCTGTGTATAAAATTAGCCGGTAAGGCTGGCTTGTTCACGTGGTTACCTCAGATTAATTACTCAGCACATCTCTTAGAGTGTGTATTCAGAAAAGTGAAAGAAAAGAAAAAAAGCTCTACCAGTGGGATTGGAACCCACCACTCTCAATTTTTTTTATACAGATGGGTGGTGATAGTCTCCTGACACGGGACGAGATACAGGATATCATCAACATTGCTAATGATATAGCTGAACACACAAGACTAGGTATATTGTTTTGAAGTAACTTTCTGTGTACCGTAACCATACATTAATCGTCTTTGAAAGTAATCTTGTGGGCCTGTTAAGCAATACATTATAAGACAGAGATAGTTATGCAAGTACTGACATTATGTCAGCCCAGCATGCTGCTTGTTAACCCTCGGCGCGCATTCGCAGCGTGGGTTACGGTAGTTGTTCTGTGTGTCTGTCTATCTGTCTGTTACTCTCAATCTCACTTCTCGGGTGTTTGTTCGTCTCACAAAAGATACGATCTACTTAACGGGCAATGAAGGTCAGAAAGTATGTCTAAAAATGCTCCGTTGCAGAGCTAGAGCGCGAAAAAGCTAATATGCAAATACACAACGGACGGGACGGCTTACTGCGGTCGTGCTCTGCGTACTTCGGAGGCACCAGAAGATGCGCAACGCAGGGCGTGTATCGCCTCTCGCATGCTATCTAGTAGTGTAGTTAGCCGCGTCAGACTCTGCGCGAGCTGGCAAGAGACCACGAGTAACAGATACAACTAAACCCAGCCCATCAATTAGTGGTACGGCGCATGCGTTTACTTACGCGTGCGCGTCACAGTGCGCCGAGGGTTTGCACTTCAGTGCTTTTCATTCTGACAGAAGCAATGAGGCTTGGACATACTGTAAGATCGGCATACATCGCAAGCCAAGTCATGAAATTCAAATACCTTATTGCCATTGTGTTATCTTGCAGTGCAAGCAGCTGTGGTAGCTATCAACACAGCCCTAGAAGAAGGTGATGCAGATAGTACCCTAGAGGCCCTACAGAATGAGCACCTTGACCTGTCAGATGTTCACCCAGAAAACAAAGACTACTACTATCAGGGATTGCGTGCTAAAAAACAAGGAAAGGAGGTATCACTAAGTGCAGTAGTACTTAGTATATAGGGATGGGGATGGTACCTAGCATCATAGGTATGATAGGCAGTTTTGTTCATCTTCTCCTTCTTCTTCAGATTCAGATTCAACACCCATAACTTAAAAACGAAACAAACATACAGTAATGAAATTTTGTAAGAATGTAGATATCCGTAACCCAAAAGAGACTGGTCATACTTATTTGTTTGTAAGCAACATTGTTTACTGTAAACAACAACAAATAGCCCAAGGCAATACATAATTGGTTCATGTGTGTAACTCACAAATGGTAAGAGCTATATGAACGAAACTTTGTAGGCATAATGCCAATCCCCAACATCAAAATCGTAAAATAACAAGTAATAGCCTCAGGCACTTTTCTTTAAATTTTCTCTAACTTTCTAATGGTAGCACGCACAGGGGTGAAACTTGGTACACATGCGTATTGCATCATTTCCATGACAAATACCATCATGACTACATGTTTGTAATAGCCTCAGGCACATTTCTTTCCTAAAACATTATTAACAGTGGCATGAAACTTGGTACGCATACATATGACATTGTTTACATGACGACCACATGTTTGAATGACAACAAATAGCTTCAGGCCTTTAATTCTTCACTCTTCAAACTTGCTAACGGCAGCACACATGGAGATGAAAATTGGCGAGTTGAAAGAGATTGCGACCAATGAGAGTAGATTATTGAACCGTGGTACTATTTTAAAACTGATTTGGGATGCGTGGACGGTCCTCCGTGCCGGAGCCATTTCAAACTCCCATATGCTTCGGCTGTATTCACACATTAATTTTCACTAGGGATCATACTAAATTGCCGGATGTAGTCGCATTGATATCATGCCATTGTAAGTAACGCATGTAGCCTTTTTTTCAGTGTCATCTTAAATTTGCACAGGAAAGTGGCAGCACTCTTCTGACAGAGGATGATATACAAGAAGGTGTAAATGATATGAACCAGACTGCTGAGTATGACAGAAATGGTAAGCGGTAAAATAGATTTTTTCTCATTTAGTGTGTACAAGGTAACCCATGTAAAATAATGCGTGTAAAAGCGCGCACAGACAGCAACGGTTGCGAAATATCGCGCTTTTACGCACTCAAGCGGGAAGTCACGCCAATTTACGCAGACTTAGCGTTCGCGCGTAGTAACGCGCGACGGCGTGCTCCACCCGCAAATCGCCGGCGTACACTCTACGCTCGCGGTATTTCTCGAAGTTTTTTCAGCAAATACTCGTTCGCGCATAACCGCGTACTGACACACCCATGTTTGTGTGGAACAGCGCTCTAGAGTGTAAATACTTGGGGGTGCGACCGCGCTTGTTGACGCTTAACCGCGTAATGACACGCCCACGGGCGTGTGTAATAGCGTGTGACAACGCGTAGTAAACCACCGCGAAATAATGCGCCTATACCTGAGCTTGCGCGCTTTGTTTTACATGGGAATGCCTGGAAGTACTCTTTGTGTGAGGGTCCGATTGCATGAACCAGTGTCATGGGTTCTAATTCCACCTAGGGCAATTCTTCGTTTTTCCTTAAAAACTCGGTGCAGTTGACTTGTTTGCTTTGCCTTTCTCTCGTCACATGCAGTTGTTTCTTATTGCATACAGTTGAGGAGGCATTTGCTGCTATCAACTATAGTGTCAAGAGTGGCCAAAGTGCTCAAGCTACTCTGCATGCTTTGCAGAGTGAATTTGCTGGGTTGATTGAAAATATCAGAGAAGACTGTGCAGAGGAATATCTTGCTGCCCTCAGAAAGGCGCAGGATGAGAAACAAGAGGTATATACATACACGTAAATGTGGTACAGGATAACCATCGACAAGCATGCGCAGCAAGTGTTGTGGTGTTTTGTGTGTGAGTCTGTCTGGTTGTGTTTTTTTCTCCACCCGCCACAAGCTGGGCGAAGAGGGATACTAATTGCTTTAGTGCTACACTGGCTTGTTTCAAAAAATTCGTGAAAGTGAGTGTGTTCGAAAGTTGACCAAGTGAACAAGCCATTATGCAACTCAGCACTGGTTTACCTCTTAAACACATTCTGCCTTCCTGATTTGCGTACCATATAAGAGCACGAGAATTGAGTTAAACAATGCCTAAAATGCATATCTAGCCCATGGCAGACTCAGAAAGTGTACGAATAATATATCAAGAATGTGCTTAGACTGTTGGATGGTACCTTTAAAAGTACTGCCTATGGTACAATTCAGACAGACTATAGGTAGTATTCTCTGTTTACCACGTGACTGGGTGCGGCAGGAGGGGACGTACGCAATGACCGAGGGTTTAGACACCCCAGCTTGCTTTATAACAGCCTCCTTTAGAGGGTTCCCCTTTCAGGGGGTCCATCCTCTCATCTGTGTACTTTTGTCAAGGACGCCTGCAACGGAGCAAATATCAAAGGAACTGCTCAGGACATTTTGTCCGTTCCACACTAACAGGAGCTAAAAAATGATGGCGTGTCCTCAGCCATGTCCAAATATGGTCGGAACGAAAGTCCGCTTTTTCGAGGACTTATTCTATTTCCATGCATGGTATACATTAATTATGCCACGTCTGCTGTAAATGTTCCCTCAAATACCCTCGGGGTTATCAACACACTCCTTTGACTATTTGTGATAACACCCTAGTAGACATGGTATAATATATCACAGAGTGAGACATTAATGGCTGTGTATCGTAAAGATTGCACAAGCTATGGCACAGCCTGATACACTGAGGTCGAAGTCCCATTGAAGTTGGATGCTCGTTCGTGGTGCTCAGATGCTTCTGTAACAAAATAGGTGTTTTCTAATGTGGGGTCTGCCATACAAAAGTATTGTATATACTTGTCTACTACCAGTCAGTGTTGATATCATTTTTCTGTAAGTCTAGATATCACCTAATGTCTATAATAACTCAGGAGCTGACCTCTGAGGAAATCAAGCAAATTGTGGAAATGGTGAACGAGAAGAAGCATCAGGAAGAGTTGAGTAAGTAATCATTGGTAAAATGAAAGCACTGTGTAAACAACCTCAGCACAGCAACATACATGCTTATAATGCGAAAGGCAATTTCCCATTGATGGGCCGGGCCATGCCACGCTGTCTAACTTGCCAAAGGAGTAAGTTTCTTGGTCTAAACACAGGCTATCTTCATCAGAAGTTAGCATTTAAGGGCAACGCGTCAATGACTCCCAGGTAACGTCATCTGTTCACAGTGCACGGAGCCTTGTTGGCATGTGTATGTTTCGTCCCAGAATACGCATGCACGTTGTGCATGAAAGAAAGAAGGAAAAATGGCAGACCAGTATATGACAGTGACAAGAACAGTTCAGAGTTTTGCAATTGCTGTTTAGAGAGTATAACTTCATGATTTTTTTACCTTTAGCGACAGCGGAATATGAATGTTTATTTTGTGAAACTAATAGTAACTCCAGAAGTGAGATGTTGAATAACAGACTGACACACACCAACCCTCGTTGTATATGTTCTGAGGATTAATTATGCGTAAACTATGATGGGCCTATAGCATCGATAGAGCCAGCAGATCAGTCACTGAGTATGCATATATTGAAGTGTGTTGAGTTTCCTGTTGTGTATAGGTGTACATATGTATATACCTTGCAGATGTACTAAAGTTGCTCTTATGAAGCGTACTTTTTACCTGTTTTTTTTTCACCCAGAAAATCAGGCAGTAGGTGAAATCAATTCGTGTGTGGGTGGTATGGACAGCACTCTCCTTCTGCAAGCACTCTTGAACCCCCATGCTGGACTGGACAATGTGCAAGAATCCAATGCACTGCACTACCTCAATGTTCTCACAGCCATGAAAAAATCAAAAGAAGAGGTGAAAGTGATTGACCAAATACATGTAGAAACGTTTTCTGAAGCCTACTTTGCCCTAATTTGAAATGTTTTCTGAAATGTGCAAGTCATACCTACTGTAAATGTGTGTAAGTCACTGCTGTGTTTCATTTTACATACTATGTACTGACTTGCTCTCTAGTGGCACCCAAAAAATTGGCATGCACAATAATTACTATTTAAATACGTAGTGAAATTATTTTTGTGTCTGCAGTGTTAGTTGCATGCAGAAAGTTTCAAGGAAGTTTTATGATATTATGATAAAGAGTGTGATTTTACACTGTGGGAGAAAAATATTAGTGGTAGCATCCTCTTCATTAACACTTCATTTGGACAGAGGATGGGTGAATCTGATGCCACTCTGACACAAGCAGAGATCCAGACAGGCATTGACAAAGCTAATGAGCAGACTCTTAAAGCTATAGAATGTGAGGGCATATTACATATGTACGTTATCCCTGGCCCAGTAATATATATGCACTTCAACCACCAAGTCGAGGGCCTGCTGTTTCAAACCAAGGGAGAATATCCTAAAGCAGGGTTTGCCCTTTTTTCACACAATATTGGCACTAGAAGTAAAATTTTTTGTTTAAAACGTTGGTCAGTATTCTAGATGCCAGGCCATAGAGTTGTGCAGTGTATAATATATAGGCTTTAGACTACAGCTTCACCAAAAGGCCAAGTTAAGAATGCTGGCTCTCTTTTCAGGGTACACTTGCAATTACATGGCATATTCCAATAGAAGACAAGGTGCTCACTTCAGCAGTTACAGCCTGACGTCACCTAAGCCCTCGAAAGATTGTCATATCTTGTTTACTTTAAATTCTTTGACTGATGAGTCATGGTTAGTACCATCAGAACGGGAAAATGTGAGGATTTCAATGGTGTTACAGCGTTTTTACAATTTAAAATATGTGGTGCCTGTATAAACAGTTTACACAACCACTTCAGGGGCTCAGGTGAACGCAAATAGACTTTAGTTGGAAAAGCCCCTGAAATGCTTTCCAGCACTGCAACAGACCTGTTAAGCACCAACTGTTCTGGGTGTACAAAATTGTTAAAGATGTTGTCTCCAAGCTTAGTAATAATACTCAGGTGGCTACCATAGCACTAGGGCCATAGACCAGTCTCCAAGCTTAGTAAAAATCACTGAAGTTGCAAACCCTCAGTGCATAAGGGACTCGCGCGTCGCACTGCCCCAATTGCAAAACACGCATGCACTGAAAGCAGTCCTGGGAGACGGACTTGATCTATAAACACTGGGTAGCGAGTAGCGCTTGGGCATTGGAAGTACATAAGGATAGTTGTACTCTGAGAACTTTACTGCCTCTACTGTGTGTGAAATGGGCATAATCTGGTTGAGGTAGGCCACTTATTGGCTCTTCCGCTTGCATTTCCGCTCAGACAAACAAATTTTGTTGGATTTGTTTTAATGTGACTTCTATTTAATGTGTTAATGTGCATTTATTCCGCTCCAATAGAGATGTATGGGACCCAAACTCATGAATATATTAATGATGCATTAAAACAGTCTAAAAATTAGTTTTTGTTCCTTCGCATAGTAGAATCCATCCCATGAAGTTAAAAAATATCAAAAAAAAGGTGCGGTGGCTCCTTAACCTAATCTTGTGCTGAGTTGTGACTTGATTTGTGGCACAATTAATACCGTCAGAAGTGAGATGTTAGATAAGAGGCAGACATACAGACCCTAGTAACCCTACACCCCATACGCACCGAGGGTTAATAAAACACAGGGCATATAATAATTATTTGAAATGCTAAAGTGCAAGCTCTCAGTGCAAGGAACGCACATGGGTTAATCTCCTTCCGCACATGCTAATAATTGATGGGCCAGGCCCACGCCACGCAGTCTAACACAGACTACCTGCATTGGTAGTAGTGTTTAGAGCAACACTGGACTGGATAAACACTCCCCGAGAAAGTTTATCCCTCCACACTCTCTGCCTATTATGCGTGTTATATAGCTGAGTCCAGTAGTCCAGCGTGTTGGTTTGTCTGGAGCTATTCTATGACTAAGCCTATGAGAAATATACCAACGGCTTCAGAACTACAAGAGCCTGAAAAAGAAAGGCAACTGAAACGACTGCCTATGAGAAACCAACGAAAATCCATCAGCACTGGCTTACCTAGACCAGGCTTAGCCTGTTCAGAATACAGTCGAGGGGTGTATCCAATTGCTGGACTGGAACACTGGACTGGATTACTGGACTGACAAAGTACTGTGTGCATCCGTGCATAGTGTTAATAACTGTGTAGGACCATGGAATATATTTTCAAAGCACGTTTGAATTTTCATTTCACATTGAAGGTTTGCCATAATTGTGTGTATTTCAATATTTATTTCGAAGAATGCTTGTGTATTGAGTAAATTTTCTCAGATCAATCTTAAGTGATAAAATGGGACCAAACACAATCCCACAGAGTTATGTACATACGTTTGTCAGGCGGATTATAGATTTAGTACCCATAAAGTTTCTGTGAATGAATCTTTATTGTTATTCACTAACGGGTGAATTATTTGAGCCAATTATTTTGCAAAATTGATTGCCACTCTGCAATTGCACAGCATTCTTGATGTGTGTGCTTTTCTGTTGTTCATACAGTGGCAAAGGCAGTGAGTGTCATCAACTGGGCTGTTGACAGTGGAGATTCAGCAGCCACATTAGTAGCCCTACAGGCACCTGCAGCTAACCTTCGCTCAATCACAGAGGAGTGTGCTGCTGACTACACAAGAAGCTTGGCAGAAGCTAAGAGCCAGAGAGTAGGGGAGAAAGGTGATGGGTGGGCGGAACATCGCACAAGAGGAGGACATGCATTCTATTACAACTGGAAATCAGAGCAATCTCAGTGGGAGAAGCCTGAAAATCTACCTGAACAGAGTTCTCACTTGAGAAGAGAGGAGATTCAGGTAATTTTTAAAAGTGTATAGGATTCTTTCATGCTGCATTTTCGCAACAGAATTTAGCTTATGTATGTGAGCCTAGCAATAGTGGTGGCAGAACTATCAAAACAATATACATGTATATATGTAAGGAACACTGGTGTATAGTTTTATCTTTTGCTGCATTAACCTTTCTGTACTATTTATTCTCCAGGTCGTTGTAACCAAGGTTACAGCTGAGTTTGATCGTTGGACTCTTCTCAAATCGAACGAACCTCTCATTACTCAGTTGCAAGCAAGAATAAGAGGAACCCAGTGCCGCAAATCATTCCTTTCACGTCTAGACTTTCTTAGAGCACATGAGAAGCAGGCAGTTGCACTACAGGTACGTGTTATACCTCGACACATCTGACACTACATTTAGTGGCACCTGAATGCTTTACTTACTGGTGGGGCAATTTTACAAAATTTCTGCAATAGATACCATGTGCCTGTATATATTTTTGTGCTGTAAGATGGAGGCTGATCAGGACAATGCGAATTTCCTCTTGTGATTTCATGCATATTTAAAAACATTTTTCATGTTTTGCGTGTGCTGCACTCTAGATGGCGAGTCATGGAAACCACAGCGCTAGCCCTAGCCCTAGCCCATAGCATGAGATGTTTAGTTTTCATGGAAATCACAAAGCCTCAGGCCCTGTATATAGTAGCGTCCTTGCTGTGCAAGGCCACTGCCCCAGGATGTTGGCCCCCTAAATTTGCATTGGTTCGTTGTCTAATTATTAGTTATCGGCAAGCAAATTTTATGAACTGGCTGGATTTATCTTGGCAATTAGCAAAAGAACAATTGTAGCGGTGAGATGACTTACTGCCAAAAAGGAGTATGACTGTAAAGGTCTCGTTATAATTTGCTGGTCACTTAACTAATGCAACGCTTTGCAGACACTGCCACTTTCCCACTTTCTAATGATTGACTGCCTCAACTCTACATTATTTCAAACTAGGCTCACTGGAAGGGATCAAAACAGAGGAAGGCTTACCGAGAAAGACTGGCCTTCCTAAACAGTCAAGCCACTGCTGCTGTCATGGTACTACATAAAGATTATAAACACGAATCACAGTATATGTAGTATGGGATGTTGGGTGCCAAGTTTGGGGACATACACTCTACACATTCTGGCCAGACACTTGTGTCTCTGGATGCGTGTGTACGCACGCAGCACGCAAACGCACACGTCAGGATGCAGTCAGATGCAGTCGGACGTAAACGCATGCTTCGCGGGAGAAATGGACGCAAATTTTTTATCGAAGCTTGCAAGTGTTTTTTTGTCCTAGAACAAGCGTTTTAGTAGGTAGGTACGTAGTTGGCTGACGAGGCTCGCTCATTTTGCTCTTGCAATAAAAACATGCAGAAGCACGACACAGCCTCCATGAACCGGCTTTGTAGTGGAGTGGCCACATAACCACGCCTCTGTGACTCAGCATATTACTGTCATAGGTGTGCCCCTCTGTGGAAAGAGTTCAGACCTCAAAATAGCTGTAACAGTGTACGAGTGCTTGTAACACTCGCACACGGAAGGGAAGTAGTCTTATGAGTATGTGCATGAAATTATAGTTCTGTAGCATACCAGCCATAGGTAGATGCATGCAATTGGTACAAGGCATTCTCCTATAAGCTAGATTGTATACCCTGAATTAGAGCCACACTGAGTGTAGTGTAAAGCTAAGTGGGAAGTTTTTCCTGCAAATATCAATCTACGGACTGTGGGTCTTTGGTTTGGTGTGAAGCCTAGTCCTAAGTAGTTGTACTCGAGAATGTGAGGGCTGTACTAGGATGGTAATATTTGGGAGTGATCGTTATACTACCTGGCATTTACACTTTGGGGAATGGCAGCCATTTGATCAATGGGTCACACCAAAAAAACTCAACTTTTATTGTGTACTGTAGTTGCAGTCCTTTGTGCGAATGTGGAGAGGCAGAAAAGCCCACCGGGAGAGACTGCAGTTCTTGAGAGACAATGTAAGTACACATTGTTACTGTGTGGTCTCATTTGACGTTTGCTAAAAAAAGTGCAAACCGTCCATATGCACAGTTATTATGCACATTATGCATGCACATAAAGCACCGATAATTGATGAGTTGGGCCATGCTATGCACGCTGTCGTTAACGTGTTGACGGGACCAGTTTCTCGCATCGGTTGGTAGCATTTAGAGCTATGCAGCACTGTCCATGTAAAAAAAACACAATAATGTGCTCCACCCACAATCGCCCACATATCCCATATGCTCGCGGTTTTTTCGCAAAGTTTTTTCAGTAAACACCTGCTGGCGCATAACCGCGCAATGACACACCCACGTTTGTGCACTCTAAGGTGTAAATACTAGCAGGTTGTCCGCGCTTAAACCGCGTAATGGCACGCCCACGCCGTGGGTAATAGTGCATAACAATGAGCAGTAAACCACCACGAAATAATGTGCCTACGCCTGAGTTTGTGCGCGTGGTTTTACATGGGTGTATACATGACTAAATGTGGTTGAGGTAAACCAGTGCTGATTTATCATTAATGCTGTCATAGCTATAGGGTGCCTTGTTAGCCTTCAGTGCCAGAATAATTTCGCGTAGACAAACACACAGACCAAGTACTGTAACCCTTGCTGCGCATGTGCGCCGAGCGTTATTAAGAGCATGGAGGTGTTACTCCCTGCCATAGTGCACATGTGAACTATAATGATGAAGTCATTATCATGTTCATCTTAATTATGTGCTGATTCACTCTTTTTTTAGGTTGCTGCTGTGGTCAAAATACAGACATTCTGGAGAGCAAAAACTGCAAAGAGGAACTACAAGCAGCTTGGTATTATGACACTTAAATACGTTATGTATAGAGAAGCAGTTACATTTGTGGTGCACTACCACGCAATAAAGTAGAGGAAAAGTAGAGAGTGCCTCTCGTTTGGCTTGGTAATGCATGGGCTTGTTTAGTTGAATTACCCCGCCAAACCTGTACGCAGTGTTCTGGGTGCCTGATTACAATCCCCCCTCTGTCAAAGTTGTACACAGAATCAAATTTGTTTTGGTTATTGGTAGGGCCTGCCAAATTGTTTTAAGATATGTAACAATGCTCAAATCAGCGAGATATAATGTGCTTCTGGTGTGCAATGTTTGCTTGCCCTGACTAGTAAACCACCGTTGGCACGTTTAGTATGAAACTTGTTGAACTGAATTCACATTATACTCAACTATAGCATCTGAAGTGTAACTCATAGGACAAGCGGCCAGCCTGCATTGGACTGTATAAAACGTGCCAGGGTTCAGTATTGCGAATACAGCATTCTGTGGGTGCTTTTTCAAGCATGGGTGCTGCAAATAGATCATTGTTAACATGTTGCCCTGTGGTGAGCTGATGTGTGAAAATTAATGAGGTGGGAACAAGGAAGGAAAGGAAAGAGGTAGCACTGGTGAGATTTAAACCTGTTTTTGCATAACAAATACGGAATGCTAAGTGCTAGACCACTATGCATTGTAGAATTGATCTAAATGTAATATGCAGAACCATTTTCCCATGCGCAAAAGTAAACTGCAAAACCCTCATTAGACAATTCCCTAGAGCATAATATCTGAGTAATAGAGTTTATATTTTCTGACTCCAAGTGTTTGTAACTAGACATGCGTGAGTAGTATGAGACTTCTTGGCAAGCATTAGTAGTACAAATCATCGCAAAAAATCTTTTGCCACTTATAGTGCTTGGTAAATGGATATTAATTATACTTAACATTAATCCAGCTATTACTGTGCCTATGCTACGAATGACACAGTACTTGCTAGACAGTGTGGCCAATAGGTTTACTTTCCAAGATTGTATACATACAATATTTGGTCTGTCATTTGTTCATGAACACCATACAATACACTGTTGTGCAGTTGACATTTTGGTGCATTTCCTTTTGTGTCTATAGTTGAAGTTGATCAGCCACCGGCATCATCGGTGCGGCGGTTTTTGGCACTTCTCGAACAGAGTGACATCGATTTCAGTGAAGAACTTGGTAAGGTTTGTATAAAAGAGTATAAACGCCCTCACTTAGTGTGATCGGCATATTTTACCAGTGTTCTTAATTGGAGGTTCTGGTTCCTCCTGCACTTGCACATGCTTAGAGCATGCACCTTGTTGCATAATGGTAATAACACTTGAGGAGGTACCTTGCCACGTTTATTTTGTTAAACTTTATGGGATGAATTATGCTATGCCTAGGAACAAGAAAAATAGATTCAACATTTTTAGGCTTTGTTCCAATGCCTCATTAATATTCTCATTATGAGTTCGTGTCCCATACATTTCCATAGGAGCGGAAAAAATGTGCATTAAATAGAAGTTGCGCATACGTGTGCAATTGAATTGCGCACGTTCTGCAGTGTTAGTTTGACAATTTCCTTGAGGCCGAAACATTTCTGCATGTCCTGTTCCTTATGCCAGAACATGTAGGAAGTTGTCAAACTAACACCGTAGAACGCACACAGCGCAATTGCACATGTATGCACTGATGTTTTTATATCCGCTCCTGTAGAGACCCGAACTCATGAATATATTGACTAAAAATTCGAAAAGTATTTTCCTAGGCGTAGTAGAATTCGTCCCATGAAGTTTAAAAAAATACAAAAAGGTGAGGTATATATACCTGTACTTCAATAATGAATATGTGCATAAGTGATGAGTGTACCATTACTCCGTAAAGATAACAGTAAGCATATAATCATGTGTCCTCCGGATGTGTTTATATTATGCACGGCCATTTCAGGATGTAGAGAAATGCTGATAACAGCAATGTGAGAAGTGGTGTAATGATTTATGATCCACCCTAAGCCTCTGCCTTTTTTTTACACACACACCTAATACTTTCTACTTTCTAACATTTGTCAAGCCTGGCCTGTAATTTTGACCACTGTGAACATGCTGACTCAACCCTTTTCTACCTTTCCTATTCACATTTAAGGGTACTAGAGTGGTTTAATAAAACATGTTTTAACACAGAATGCCAGCGTCTAAAGGCACAAGTTGTGCAGGAGATTCGTTGTAACCAGCAACTTGAACAGGATGTACGCATCATGGACATCAAGATAGGGTTACTTGTCAAGAATCGCATATCACTGGAAGATGTAGTGACCCACTCAACACAAATTAAGAAGGAGAGGCGCAAGGGAGGGGCATCCGTGTCAGTGACTACAGGAGACTCCAGTGCTCTGTTATCTACCGGACTTGGTGGACTCACAAAAGCCAACCAACAAAGACTAGAGGTAAGATTATAAGCATGAGTATAGTAATACTCAGGTGTCAGCTATAGTGTAAGGGGACCCGCTGCTAGCTGCTACGTGTAGTCACTGAGTGTGTGTACCAAGAATTATCATACGATACAGCACCACACATTATATAGACTCTGTCAGACATGCGCAGTCGTGAACATACACGCATGCGTACTTAGGTGACTAAATACACAGTACCATACACTACACATAGCACTAGGGCCATCGACCACACACCCAGAGCAATGGGACGAACCATTAACAAATAAACATACACCAATGGTCTGTTGTACGCTGGGATTATCGCCGTATAACCTAACCTTTCTTAGCTCCCAAACATCCGAAATAATACCCTCAACAAGGTCAAGCAGAGAACCAAATTTTTCCTCCTACTGCTCACTACCCAAAATAAGTTTGCTTTACTGAAACTATCGAGTGACTGGAAATGCTCAAACCCATCCCCAAGCCTCTCCTGCAAGGCAACTAAGAAATCGCTCCTAAGACTACTATAATATGCTGGACACTCCCTCCCCCTATACTTACCCAGCTCCTCATTTAGCCCATGCGTGCCTGACCTAAACATTAATCGAGACCCAGCATCACTTGCCCCACGCAAATACTTTTTGAACTCTACCACCTTGTTAAATGTTTTATACAATGACAGCTTTACTATTTAGCCCCTCTTCAAACTTCCTAACCTCCCTCTCATTGATACTGTCCCCTACTATAGACACAAAGCCCTTCAAGAAGCAATCCACATTATGAATATCCTGCAACCACTCTGCCTTGTCGAGACCCAATGATGAAAACAGACCATCAATGACCTTACTCCAACACTTCCTCTGCCTGCCTCTCCGTGGCTTAAAACTCCAATGCTGCTAACCTATACCACCACTTCAACATATTCTTATCCCTACGCACTTGTAATGTATCAAGCCCCATATCCCCCCTAACGGCTTCATTACATGTCTTAGACGAACACCCAAGAATATGCTTAGCTCCTCTCAGCATCACGGACTCTAACACAACTACCTGAGTCTTATTGGCTTCCCACATGTCACTTCCATACTCTAAAGTTGGCCTAACCACCGCTAGCAACAACAACTTGCGAGCACTCAAATTAATATCCCTATTACACAAACGAAAAGCACTAAAGTGCAAACCCTCGGCGAACTGCGCATGCGCAGTACCGCTAATTGATGGGCTGGTACCCACGCTAGTAGCTTGCGGAGAGTCTGACACGGGCTAGCTGCAGCAGTAAATAGCACGCGGGAGTTGCTACACGCCCTTCGTGTGACTTCTTGTGCTTTCAGCATACACTGAGCAAGCGGACCCGCTCGAGGTAAGCCTATTCTAATGAAAACTAACAGAGGAGAGACACTCAAAGAACTGCTTGCCTGTCCTGGTCAACCGTGTGGCATCTTGCGGGTATGTGCATGCCCCGGCAAGACACTGACCAAGACGTGTGCGTGCCAGCATAGCCAGCCAGCGGGGGCACGTGCACAATCGCACTCACGTACGCTTGTTTTCAGTTTCACGCCATATCTCTGGAACGCAGTCGTTTCGCCACATTATTATCCATATTGTCGTTGTTCTGAAGCCGTTGGTGCCACTCATGGCCGCCTCGTAGCCCGTAGTGCCAGAATAGCAGTGGACAGACCAAGTACCGTAACCCTCGCTGCGCATGCGCAATTCGCTGAGGGTTTGAACTTTAGTGCTTTTCATTTGACTAGTATTGGTGCATGGGGTGTTTATATCAAGAATGATGGAAGAGAGAAGGTCAATCAGTTGCAAAGTGTTATTAACCCTCGGCGTGCATGCATGACAGACGGACAGACATACAACTTACGAACCAAGTACTGTAATCCTCGCTGCGCATGCGCGCCGAGGGTTAATCAACACCCAAGTATGTGTATTTAGATACTCTAGGAAGAATATGCTCCCACCATCTACTGACTCCCTAGCGAACACCATCACTGCACTAACACCAATGAAATCATCTGCAAACAAAAGTCCTCCAAGTCTCCCACCACTAAAATCAATCCTAATCCCAGCTTCCTCCACCTCCGTCAACAACCCATTGATAAACACGGAAAACAAAATTGGTGACAAGCTACATCCCTGAGCTACCCCCTGCTCCACATGAAATACCTCTGACTGTTCCCCATCCAACAATGCAGCACTCTTTGAAAACTCGTACATCCTCTTTTCCCTCTTACCCCAAATTCTCACAACGTTAGCCACAGGCCGTTACGCCACACACTATCATATGCCTTCTTCACATCTAGAAAGAATGCATATGTCTCCTTCCCCTCCTTTAGCCTACCCTGCACGAGTTCATTCAGCGTATTAATTTATCAACACAACCCCATTTAACCCTAAAACCAGCCTGACTCTCATGCAATGCTAGGCCCTTTTCCAGATGCTTCACCAACCTATCGTTCAAAACCTTACAAAAGACCTTCCCAGCCACACTCAGCAGAATGATGCCCCTATAATTCCCAGGATCCTCCTTATCTCCCGTCTTAAACAGGTTAACTATGAGGCCCTCCCTCCACTGTGGTGGCACTAACTCTTCACGCCGAATTACTGTAAACAACTTTTGAAGGAACTCCATCATTCCTGACCCACCAAACTTTAGAAGCTCCCCCCACAAGCCCGTCACTACCACCAACCGGTCTTGTTATTCTTCAACTTCCTAACACACAACGCAATCTCTTCCAAATTGTTTTCCCTATCCAATGCATTTTGCACACAATCTGTTTGAAGGCTAGAAAACTGACACACTTTCTTATCCACTTCCTCCTTCCAACTATCATCAAAAGCTGTATCAACACTACAAGTGCCTAAATGTTGATAATGCCTCTTTAACACTTCTAACTTGCCCTTACTTGTAACTGACACCCCAGCACTATTCCTCAAAGGTGTAACCCCCCTCCTCTTACCCTTTGTCCTTCTACCAACAAATGCCCAAAATTCTTTCCTGTTACCTTCAAAATCTGAGTTTTCTCTTTCTACTACCTCATTCCAAACCTCAAGCTTCTCTTCAACAACTAAATTCTTCGCCCCCTACACAGTTACTATATACCTCCCATAGATTATCCTGACCCTGAAGAATTTTCTTGTAAACCTCCTTTCTCTGCTCTATAATCTCATCATCCCACCACCTGACTGCCTTGCCACACACTACTACCTTTTCTCCTACGTACCTCAGCCCTTGCCATCTTAACTTGCTCCCACCCCTCTACAACTGCACTGACCAACCCACTTCCGCTAATACCCTCACTCACTTTCTCCCTGATGCTCTCTGAAAATGATTCAACCTCCGCCTTCAAGGCCTCACTATACTTTGCTCTAACCCCCTCACCTGAAAATGTGTCTACACTCCACTTCCTTATTGTCCGCTTCTGCCTTTTACAACACTTCGTAACCCGGCCCAACTGCAGCCACACTAGAAAATGATCCGAGGCACCAATATCAGTTGTATCAACCTGCACTTCTCCAGACTCCCTCATCAACTGCACATCCGTAACTACATAATCTATCACTGATTTCTGCTGCAGGCGGGCCTTACTCTAGTCCACTCAGGCTCAGACACTAACTTCCTACCACCAGCTTCACCTCGTTCAAGAACGAAATCAGCCTATTTCCACTGGCATTACAAGTCTCCTACCCAAACATCCCAATGATATCATCAACATCAGTAGATCTACCCACCCTTGCATTAAAATCACCAAGAAGAACCTCCCTCCCCTTCTGCATGAATCCAAGCACATCCTCCTTCAACCTGATGTAACTATCCTCAATGACAGAAGCACAAGCACTATCTGTAGGCATGTAAATGCAACACACATACCATTCTTCCTTCCCTCTCCTGCCTCGAACCTTCATCCACACACTCTCCTCGTACCTGATGTTGCTAATAAACTCTACGTCATCTGCCAAGCATTGCCGAACCAACAACCCAACTCCTCTTCCCCCCCTACGATTATTTTGATTCAAACCATTTATAGCCATCAACAGCAACTGTCTTTCCCTCCCTCTCCCAAGATTCCTGTCCAGCTACTACATCAATATTGAGCCCTCTCAAAAGCTCCCCTACCTCTCTCACTACAAAGGCCAAAAATATTCTCCCTGAGTTTGCCATTGACTTCTCCAAAGATCGCTCTGCCGGTTTCTTCCGTGACATTATGGACGAGTACGCCTATATACATTGACCACAATGGGAAAGAAAAAAAGTGGGAGGTGGCTGAACTCGTTTTAGGGGACATTTCTTTACCGTGAAATGACTGCTAAAATTGTGGGGAAAATCAGTGAGCTGAGTAGAATTCATCTGAATTTTGCATGTCACCCTCTCTTTAAGCGTTATATTAACTCACCGATATTTTGTTATCCTGAAGGTGTTACTTTTATTATTGTAAAAGCTATGTAGATCCTGCTTAGTTTCTAGAGTATGTGAATTTTTTTCAAATATGCACTTTTTGGTTTTTGAGTGGTTTCAAAAAAGCCTCTTTGTCTTATTTTATGCAGGCTTACCAGCACTTGTTCTATCTCCTCCAAACCAATCCAAATTACTTTGCCAAGCTAATATTTGAGATGCCACAGAGCAAGACCAACCGATTCATGGAGAATGTAATCCTAACAGTCTTCAACTATGCTCAAAACAACCGAGAACAATTCCTGTTGGTTAAATTGTTCGAGAGAGCTCTGAAAGAGGAAGTTCAGTAAGTCCTAGATATGTACATTGTCAGTCGAGTGAATTAGCTGTTAGGTAATGAATCTCGTATTGGATTGCACAAAGTATCACTAAGTACGGTAGTAAAGGTATAGGGATGGGTATGGTACCCAGCATCATAATAAATACATAGATGTATGGGGCTATGATAGGGAATCATCATCGTTTTCAACACCCATGATTCAAAAACGATATATGGTGTGATGTAGCTATCCATAATCAGATGTGTGTGGCGTATAGCCCTCGGTATGCATGTGTAGTGAGGGTTAAAGTACTGGGTTCGTAAATGGGTGTGTGTGAGAGTCTGTCTGTTCTGTTAACGTTTTCCACCACAAAGAACGATACCAATGAGGTCACTGCTACACTGGCTTGATTTTAAATTTGGCACCAGCATTCGAAGTTTACGGCGTGATGAAAAATGAAAAAACCTTTACCGCACTCCGCCTGTTTGTTTACCTTAGAGGCATCAGAAGATGCATGTAGCGCTTCTCTCTACACTGCCGCTCGGGTGGCGATCGCGATTGCGAAAGCTGGGGGGTGCGGCCTATTTGCGCATTGGAAGACGGCACGTGGAGGGGAAATGAAGCGTCTGTCCAGCTCTGCTTCTTCCTCGCCGTCTACAGCTAAACCTGAGACTAAGCGAAGGAAAGTTAAGTATGAAACCAACAAGCACTGGGTCACCGAGTGCGATCACAAGTACGCTGTATGTGTGTACATGGTATCATGTGAATATTGTGGTTCATAACTAAAATGTGTATTGCCATGTCCTGTGTGGTTTTCATCTGATAAAATTCTATGAATTTAGTGCTGAAGCTTGTCCAACCAAATGGCAGAGCAATATTAAATTTGTTCTGCCACTTTGACCAATCCAAAATAAAACCTTATTTCATCCTCTGTATACGTACAATGAAAGGCACTAAAATGCAAGCCTTCAGCACAGAAAGAGCATCATTACTGGATTTATAACTTTAGCATGCAGTGTAGCAAAAAGCTTGTGCAGGTGCAATAATTGGCGAGCAGGAGAGAACTAATCTAGTGGTCCGAACGATGCAAATATATACGTCGGACCGACCATTAAAAATGCGCATGCGCGGCTGCGTCAAAGAGCACATTGTTGTGTACGTACCCTTTGCCATTGAAGAGAAAGGGATAGAGACAGTCGTGTCCGTGAGACGAACGAGAGACGGAGCTCACAGAAGGCAGCGTCTTGTTTCTCAGATGGCCAAGGAGCGAGAAACACGACGCCATATTCAACACACAGGCACACCTTCGACAGCTGAGTACTGCTATGCAACAGGCACGAGCAGTAAAGATGACAGAACTGACACAGATTCATCTGTTCCATGTCGTAGTTTTGGAAATCCCAAACTTCATGCGTGGATAAACTTACAGAGTGCTGTTGTAGCCTCGCTCCCGCTCACCAATTATGCCATGCATTTGCCTTCTAGTATTAGCACACATAGAAATTGTAAAAATGATGTTAAGCACTCTGATACCCCCAATCCCATCACACAATCTCTATTATTGTGCCTAGGTGAAGTATTAGTTAGCAGGTATATCTTGAAAACACAGGTGACAATAATGTTGTGCTGACACAGTGGCCACCACCATTATTTTCGAGAGTGGCACGCCAGGCAACAATATGGGTATTGCGTGTTGGGCTCTGGGGTATCAGTGTGCTCACAGTCTGTTCGTACACCATGCTTCATTTACCATCCCTATCTTGTCTTCCTTCCTTTTTTAAATTCATAAACTTCTGGTGTAGTTCCACTTTGTGTGTATCACTTCGTGTGCAGTCCTACCAATATTTTTTTTATTAAGGTCAAAGGTTGACAGAATCATGGATATCGTTACTGGAAACCCAACTGTCATCAAGATGGTCATTCACTACACCAGGTAAAGCTCTAGTCCAATGTGTCATTATGTCCAATATATTTGCAAACCATAGAGGAGAGCGAGGTCACAATGTGTTGCAAGATTTGTTGGGACCTCTAGTGAAAGAAGTCTTGGAAGCCAAGGACTTGATGTTAATCACTAGTCCTGTGGACATCTACCGTGCCTGGATTAATCAGATGGAGTCCGAGACAGGCGAAGCTACGTAAGTTGTACATTTTTTGCTTAGGAGGTATGTACATACATTTTAAACAGAGAAGCAACGATAACCTAAGGGCCCCTGTGGTACTGCACTTAAACACGCTTAAACACTGACTGACTACAAGGAAGCAATTTGCTTAATTTTTGAATCTATTGGTCGAAATCTCTTTCAACTCGTCACATTTCTGTGCCTGCAAGCACATGCTTTTACGTATTATGTTTCCTAAGAAGAACCAAGCTCTTGTTCTCAAATGGAATTGGCGTGGCAGTGTGTGATGCACTTGACATTGTTTGTAATTACTTGTATGCGGTAGATTACACGTTGCTTGGGCGGCCCCGTGTTGTAGTGCCTTTAGTAAAGAATGGGCACAGTATGTGTTCTGTGTCACCTAATACTGTAGACTGTGCATGAGCCAAGGCAGCTGTACTCCTACTTCAGTCGTTTGCCTAAGTGTGTGTTAGCCAACATTTGCAATCTGGTTTACTACATACATCCTAAAATACATACAAGATTATGTTTATTCACACATGTGCATGTGGGCATATTTCTGCAAATCTACATGGTACACTGAGGGAGTACATTTGTAGTAGTGGGTTGTAGCTATCATCTTGCAAGTTGCTGGTATTTACAACGTGTGGAATGAGCGGTTACAGTATATCGGGTGTTGAATGCGTGTGTCAAAACAATTTTTACAGTTTGTCTTGTGGCCAGAGCATACATTCTGCCATCCAATACTAGCTTTCAAGCTCATTGCTGATATGTGCGCGCTACTTCCAGAGCACGCCCTCTGCCGTATGTAAGTGCTTTTATATAAGCTATAATTATACCAATTGTAGGGCACTCGTGTAAACATAGCCGAAGTGTAGTTGGACTACAGACTAACTGAACCACATGGCTAATCAGTACTTTCCTTATATAAATGTAAAAAATGTTCTTACATTAAATGATTTTGCTTAGATTTTACTTCCGTAACTTTTCATTTGTACAGAAAGCTACCATATGATGTGTCAAATGACCAAGCACTGGAGCACCAAGAAGTGAAGGATAGAATACGCAAGACGATTCAGCAGCTGTGTTCCTTCTGTGATCGCTTTCAGGCTTCCATCATGGAAAGTGTGCAAAAAATACCGTGAGTATGAGTTTTAAAGCATTTGCCCTACAAGTCTTAGTACGTAATTACCATGCACCTATAAGGGGGTTCGTTTTTCTTATGTGAACAAGACTAAAAGTTCATGCATGTCCTGTTCCGTGTTTCGACATGCCAGCTACATGATCACATGCAGGGACATTGTTCCGTAGAGTTGCACACATGTATAATATATTACACATGTGAGGATGAATTTACAATTTGTGCACACTTATGGTCTTTTAGAAATGTATTGGACCTGTACTCATGAATAATAAGTGTAGCGAAAAAAGGTAGTATGCATAATTGAACGAGGTTACCTCGACTTGATCCACTTGCTATGTGTACCTCGGAGGCACAAGAGGTCAGTGTGTGTATCGGGTATCGCATGCAACCTATATATATTAGTGTAGCTAGCTTGTTTTTCCATGAACTACTAGTGGGTTGCCACTAGTAAATCGACGCCCAGCCCATCACTAAGTGGTACAGTGCATACGTATCGGTTTGACATTACTAGTGAGCCAAGGGCTTGCACTACAGTGCTTTTCATTTACTAGCCCTAACCGACTAATCGCATAAAAGGGCCCTACTACATGGGATGTGCTGCTAGAGTACCCAAGGAGCTAATCATCATAATACACGTACCTTCTTCCTCTGCAGGTATGCTATGCGCTTCATTGCCATGCAGCTACGGCTAGCACTTGTAGCCAAATTTCCAGATGCGCCACAAGATGACATTCTCAAAGTTGTGGGCAACCTTCTCTACTACCGGTATATGAATCCAGCTATTGTGGCTCCAGATGCATTTGATGTTGTTGAAATGGGAGTTGAACATCAACTTGGAGCTGAACAAAGAAGAAATCTGGGAGCTATTGCAAAAATTCTTCAGACAGCTGCTGCTGGAAAGATGGTTATGACATGTTCAGTTCCACACTAATTCTGCACTTTTAGTCCCCTGGCGTAATTGTAATTTATGACATAATTCGGAAATGTAGCACATGTTAATGTGTAGTAACTTCAACAGGTTTTGCTGTTTCCACACTTAAAGATGCATCCCAAATTTTTATGAATTACCCAGTGACACTGTGTTGACCATGAAGCTAATTAACTCCATACTGTATGTGATCCACTACGGGGAAAGGGCCCATTTGACGCAGATAAATTTTTGGGTGTCAAAGTGTAGGAGAAGACCCAGTGTACATGGCACAATAAGCACTTCAACACCGTTCACAAGATATGTCCAAAAATGCTCGAGCACCAAGAAAACACAATATGACATCGTTAAGGGGCGTGTATATTTTAACCATCATGTCTTCCGTGAATATTTGTGTGAAAATGTGCGCAAGTTTTTGTAAAAAGCCGTGAGTGAACTCAGCACAATAATTTTTACTCCTACTGGACAATTCAAATGGCCTGTAATTGGTGTGTTAGGATACATGTGGCATGTATGTTCTGTAGTGTGTTTTGATTAGAGTAGATATGTGTATATACACGAATGTAATTGGTCAAACTGTACTTCATTATGCAGTTTGAGGGAGAAAATTCAGCATTGTCGAATGTGAATGAATACCTCGCCAAAGCCTTTGAAAAGTTCAAGTGAGTATATATAGTAATAAGTATAGGATTGTACTACTGGACCTTTTAAATTGAAGGTGAACACTATTATATATTATGCTTGTCTTTCTCTTCTAAAGAGTATTCTTCTTGCAAGCTTCAACGGTGGCTTCAGCAGAGGAGAAGTTTGGCATAGATGAGTACTCAGATGTCATCATGCTCACTAAGCCAGTCATTTACATATCTGTGAAGGAAATCTGCTCCACACACTCTGTAAGTCTATTTTTTGATGACGACCTGGTACAGGGTTGGAATCAGGCATTGCACGGCGTATTAAGTGTGTGCAAGAACACGCTGACAGACACATTGAACCTCTGGATCTTTGCTTGGGAAGACAGCTGTACTCTCGGTCTACTTTTTTGATGGGTGGAGAAGGGCTAGAGGCATTCTTATATTCTTATTAGCAACTCTACTAGCATCGGTAATTATCCAACCAGATGCTTTATACAAGCAATGCCAGAAGTTTTTACTCAGTAAAAGGTGTATACTGTAGTTGCATGTCCTAAACAGCTTTGAAACATCTCCGAAAACACAGTATGCGTCATTTCAGTGGTGGGTCATGAATCTAGTGTTTCTCCATTCGTATGGTCCTAATGACGTCTGGGTGATATACATTCCTGTAGCTGCTGAATGGTTAGAGGTAGATAAAAAGCTGCCGCTTATCAAAAACAGCTCTTGCTGAGCTAAATGTATGGGCATGGACCCTAAAAATAGAATCGAGTTTCTGTAGTTGCATGAGTTGATAGGTACATGTGGCGTGCACTTGCATTTCCATTACCATACTGGAGTTACAATCTTTGACATGGAGCCAACCTCATCTCCATTTTGCAGCCATCTATCTACTTTTGCTGGCAATGTCCCACATGTTATATGCTGTAAGACTGAACTGGCAACTGCACGTGTGTTTTGATGAGTCATCTGAAAGGTAGTGTAGCTTTTGAAGACAAGAATTGCGGTAGCATTTCCTAACATGCTTGTACTTGCTCCTGCTCACCAAAAAATGCTCTGCATTCTGACGGTATAATTGCGATCGTTTACAGCTGCTGCTGGTTTTTAATGCAACATACACCCATAGAAAAAGCAATCAAGTGACAGGTTTACTAGGACCGTGCAAGAATAAGCAGATTGCACACGCAGATCATTATTAGATGCAAATCTCATATAATTGTCAGGTCTGCAAACTATTTTACGGGAAAAAACGCCCGTGGGTTAATTCGAGCTACTTTTTTCAAGCATCAACCCCGCTGATATGCTCGTGGAGTTTTTGCGTCGAAATGATGAAGGGCCAATTCAAGAAATCAAGGCAGACTTAACTAGGACGCTTGCCTTTGTGGCTGCTGGGTCTTTGAAGGAAAGCACATTTGAACCCCCGCAAAAGCTGAGGCAGAGCAATGAACCTTATGGGGCTCGCCTTACCTGAACTGCCCCCAGTTCTCTACGTAAGTTTTCCCACAGTACTGCTGTTTACCGCAGTGTCTCGTTGTGTAGCTGTTATGCACTGGTTGTCTGGCTTGTGTTGTGGGCTATACTCGCTCACAGTCTTGCATACATTAAAATGGAAAAACGTTTCTACCCAAGCACAAAAACTTGTATATCCCGACGTCACTCATGTGCGAGATATACCAGGGTCTGCCTCCGTTTTCATGGGGTTCAAAGGTCATACATTAAATGAAAAGCACTAAAGTGCAAATCCTCAGCAAACTGCGCATCACGATACTGCTAATTGATGGGCTAAGCTATTTTTATGCGTTTATTCGTGGTATCCCGCTAGTAGCTCGCGGAGAGTCTGACACGGGCTAGCTACAGTAGCTAGTAGATAGCATGCGAGAGTCGATACACGCCCTTCGTTGTGACTTCTTGTGCCTTCAAGACACACAGAGCGAGCGGACGTGGTCGAGGTAAGCCTGTGCTAATTTGCATATAGGCTTGTTCACTTGCCTTTCAGGCCATAACTTTTGAACGCAGAAGTTATATCAAAATCGCCTTTTTAAAATGAGGCCAGTGTAGCGATGAACCTGTTCGTGTCGCTATTTCGTTGTCTCGTTGCGCGTAGTCGCAGAAAACATGGTAACAGACGAACGGACAGACACACTCACTCACGAACCAAGTACCGTAACCCTCGCTGCACATGGCCACCGAGGGTTAATAATAGCATGCAGAGAGGGATACCCTTGTAATGAGGCTAAGCACATGTGCTTGTAATACACAGCAAGTTAAAATGATTTTCACCTACCAGTTATCCTGTATGGGCAACCTGTCTCGAACAAACCTGGTTAACACTGAAGTATAACCCTCAGAATACACCATAATTGCCAAAGTATGGGTTGCACCTGACTAAAATAAAGACTAAGGTGCAGGAAGTAAAAATTTATCCTACGTAGCTCGCAGGTGATGGTGTACGCCTTCTACCCTAGGTGTAGTTGACACATAGATGTAACATCCAGCATGTTACTTCACTGCCACCATACTGCTATAGGCCTGCATTTCTACTGTATTTACTGCTAGCCTGCTCTACATCATTTTGTATGCCTATTTTGACCTGTGTAATTCCACTACGTGAGCAAAAACAGCACATTCAGTGTGTATGTTGCACCCCCTCTACACCTAGGTCCCACTGCTGCATGTTGTATTCCGGCAAATACGGTACTGTGCTTGACAAAATTATGTCCGTGCAGTGGAAATTACAAGTTGCATGAGCAGCCCATGTCATTGTTCCTTACATATTGTTCTGTTCCCAGCACTTCTTGAGATGATGTGTTTCTCCATTCACAGTTGTTGATTGAGCATGAAGCCATTGCCCCTGATCCTTCTGACCCTCTGAGGGAGATTTTGAGAGACCTTGGCCCTGCACCCTCTGTTGAAGCCTTTTTAGGTAAAATGTGTTTATTGTATAGTAGTCACTTGTGATGGTGCATAATTACAACTCAGACAGCTAGTTTGTAGGTAATTAACCCTCGGTGTGCATGCGCTAGAGGGTTACAGTACTTGGTCTGTGTGTATGTATGTCTGTGTGTCTGTGTGTCCGTTCACGTTTTCTGCCACTAGGCGCAACAAGATCGCCGAAAGTCTACGCCAACGGGTTCGGCGCTACATTTGCTTCATTTTAAAACTAGTGATTTTCGTAAAAGTGCTGCGTTCAAAAGTTATGGCGTGAAAACCAAGTGAACAAGCCAATATGCAAATTAGCACAGGTTTACCTCGACAAGATGTGCTTCCTCTGCGTATCTTGGAGGCACAACACGTCACAACGAAGGGCGTGTATCGACTCCCGCATGTTATCTACTACTGTAACTAGCCCGTGTCAGACTCTCCGCGTGCTACTAGCGGGAGACCACAAGTAAACGCATACTACGGCCCGGCCCATCAATTAGCGGTATCGCTCAGGCGCAGTTCGCCGAGGGTTTGCACTTTAGTGCTTTTCATTTTTCGATGATCAGGGTTATCCATCCCATAATCTGATCGTCACCTTAGTGTTAATAAAGGGTGCTAAGTCACGCACCCTGCTGGTTTTTTCTGCCTGATTAAAGGTGGGCTCCTGTTCGTATAAAGAGGTTCCACATCTCTGGCTCATCGGCTTTTTTTAATTTTATAGCGAGCGGTCAAAGTCAATTCCTATGACCCATTACGGTCTCGGCCCTGCATATCAATGTGAGACTCGGTCTCGGGAGGGTTGGGTGGGACATTGATATGCTCGACGTCACCTTCTTAATATAACCCAGAAGAGCTGGCAACCACTATGTGGTCTGAGCCATTCTGTAATTATATTTCAGAAGGCTCCGTCTCACATATCAATGTGTGTTTGTAGTTGTGTCCACCCTGACTTGATTGTGGACGGTTCTGCCAAACCCAGTCTGTTTGGATGGCTTGTAATAGAACCGTTGGAACACTGATGGAGTGCTCCAGTCTGCCGCGTTGAGGATGTCACACATAGTGACTCCAGCATTAGAGGCTGCCGTCGTGGCAGCTCCTCGCACAGAGTGTGCCTTGAAGATGGCGGTGTCAATGCCTTCCTTCTCCAACGTGCTCTTAAGCTATCGGGGCTATCGTTGAGCTAGAGCCCACACCGCAGGGCCTGATTGTGGTGAGGAATAGGGGGTTCGACCCCTCTACCCTCCTGTACTCCCGAGTCCTATCCTTGTATGCCCGGAGCGTAGTCACTGGGCACAGTAGGTGGTTTAAGTCTGGGAAGAAGAATTCCGCCAGCAGTTTGGACTGTCGGGACTGTTTTGCCAACTGTGTTGGCTGGAAAGTCACTCTCTCGGGGAGGTATCTCCTGAACCTCAGGTTGAGTTTGGACAGGTCTGCTGATCTGGATGATCTGGTCAGTGCCAGGAGCATCACAGTCTTGTGAGTGAGGTCTGCCAAGGAGAGAGAGAGTCATTCTCCCCTCGGGCCTCAATAAATGCTGTCACCTTTGATGCATCCCACATCTCAGAGTATCTCGGCTGAGGGGGTCTTTCGTGGAAAATCCCTTTGAGGATCCTAGACACCATCGTGTGTTGGCCCACTTCATAACCGTCCACCTTCTCATGCACGGATGAGATAGTGGAGCAGTATGAATTTATTGAACTGTACTGATTCAAAGAGGTGGGCCAGGAAGTTTATCACTTCCCCTATAGGGCATGAAATGGGTCACAGTCCCGTTCACCACACCAGCTGACCCACTTCCTGAATAGAGAGTTGTAGGTCTTGGAGAACTTCTGTCTCCATGACGCCAGGAGCAGTTTCATAGCTCCCTCTGAAACCTGGCAGTCCTTGTAGCGCTGCCGGGGATAGTCTACACGGACAGTTGGGGGTTCACCTCTGGGAGGCTGTCCCTGTGTGTGGCTGTGATGAGGTCCCCCCTCTAGGGGATCACAAGTGGAACCTTCACCAGCAACTTTAGTAGCACTGGGTACCATCCCTGTGCCTTCCACACTAGAGCTGATACCGACTGTGATTGCAGGATTTTGCCTGCCTCAGCTCTGATCTTATTGATCTTTCCCCCCGGTAGTCTGAGCCCCATCTTGGCGGAGTAGACAGTGAGCCCCAGGAATTCTATTTCCTGAGTGGGGGTCAGTTCCGACTTGGGGTGGTTGGCCACAAACCCTATGTTCTCCAGCAGATACACCACTGCTGTAATGTGGTCTTTCAGGAGATTCTCTGTCTCCGCCATGGCGAGGGTATCGTCTATGTATATTGTCATACACAGCCCCACCTCCCGCAGGGTCGCCACGACTGGTTGTGTGGTCTTGATAAAGACCCACGGTGCCGAGGATAACCCGAACAGTTGAATTGGTGTGTCTTATTTTTCCATTGGAATTAGAGGAAGTTTCTGTCCTCCTGAGCAATGGGGATCATGAAATAGGCATCTTTCACGTCTATCTTGGCCATCCAGTCTCGTGCTCTTAGCAGGTCTTTCGCTGAAAGCCTTCCATCTTGAAGTGCTCAGTCTTCACTGACTGGTTGAGCTTTTTGAGGTTTATCACAGGTCTCCGCTTGCCATCCTTTTTGGTCCTCAGATCTTTCTTCTGCTCTGGACATAGCCTTTTTGTGTAGCATGCTTTGGATCTCTGCCTGCATGCACTCCTCTTCAATCTCTGTGAAGGTAAGCTCCTTTGTTGGTAAGGCTTCTACAGGAATTGCAATTGAGGCGTTTTGTGAATACGTTGTCGATCGGTTTGAACTGTGCAGTATATGATAAACGGGATGATTTTAACTTCAAAATTGTAAATTTTCCATATCTAAGTTCCAATATTCCATCTGGACCAGCATACGGAGTTTATATTTCCCAATTAGTACGTATAGGTAGAATATGTAGTGATTACTCGGATTTTACGTTGAGACATTTCAAACTAACGGAGCGACTGATTCATCAAGGATACAGATACTCTGATTTGTGCAGGTCCTTTTATAAGTTTGCTAAAAAGCACGCACAAATTATGATTAAATATAGCTACGGCATACGCAAACATGTGGAGGATGGTATATGTCTGCCAGCAATGGATAGATTCCTCAGTCGCCATGTGTCGCATAGATAGAATGTATATTTATAGTCACATATTTATTTTGAATAATCTATTTTTAACATTTCTATTTCTACCATTTCTACTATTATTTATATTATTTATATTTTTCTTACACGTGTATATGCTGTGCGTTATTTAAAGTAATCGACAGAACTATTAATCTTATTTTAGGAGTTCTATTTTTTCTATTTTTCTTACACGTGTATATGCTGTGCGTTATTTAGAATAATCGCACGTTTTTTATGTCTCCGTCGTGTCGTCGTGCTGCGTGAGTTTCAGAGTTTTTATATTTTTCTATGAGTTTATTGGTCCTTTGAGGCTTTCTATTTTTCTACCGGCTGTTGTTTTTATCCTGTAGCTGTCGTTTTTTGTACATGATTTCTATCTATTTATTTTATAACTATGTGTAAGGGAGGTTGGGACACTGGGTGTGTAGGGAGAGTTGGGCCCATAAAAGACTCTTTAACCTACCGCCCCGGTTCTCAAGGCTGGGCACCCAGGGTCCTGCCTCTTTCTTTCTGTTTATATGTTATTGTCTGTGTTTTTGTACACTTGGGTATGTTATTGTCTGTGTTTTGTGTGCTTGGGTGGGGGAGGTTCTTTCTTTTCCTCTGAGCTAGTATGCTATAAACATGTTTTTTCATGCATAGTGTGGCCGCTATAATTCGTCTTCTCAGAACTCCAACGCAGAGTCTGAAACGGCTAATCTGTATTCAACACTTGTCTGAGCTTCAAGAGTGCCTAAGGTCAATATATTGCCAGTGGAGCACATATCCTGACCACTGTATGCATGGTTAGACGGGTACATTCTAGTGGGCACATCTCATACACTGGCAGTTTATTGTGACACAACACCAGTTGCATTATCTTAGATCAATTTACGTCGGTTCAAATCTCACAAATCCTCTTCATTTCTACGATGATACTGTATCACAGACGACTGGAGTATGGCATGCTTGGGGAACCAAATGGAACTTTAACAGATTCAGAATTGCATTCTGTTGTCCTGCACTTGCGCTTTGATATGCCAGCTCTTGGACAGACTATCGTTTCGGCCAGGCTTAGGTCAATGGGTTTTTCTGTCACTCGTGAAAGAGTAAGAAATATTATTCGTGCAATTGACCCGATTGAGACAGCTCTTAGGTAGAGAGGCCAACAAGTCCATCGTCAGCCTTATCGTGTGCCTGGACCAAACAGCTTGTGGCATTTGGATAAGGGATATGATTTGATGCAATATAGTTCACATTTGAGTCCATTTTTATTTATACTAGATGGTCACCACAAATTAATCAGATGGGGGTGACCCACTGTGCAATAGGATATAGTAAACTTGTTGTCTATATCAAGTGCTCAAGCTCTACGTCGTCAATGCTTTCGACGTCCACGAAAGCATTCCACGTTGTCGACCACCGTTGAAGAAGAAAATAACTTTGACCGCTCGGAGCATTCGCCGCTGAGACCTTAACTCTTAGTTCAATGCAGCCAAATTTTTCGAGCTCTCCTTCAATTACATTGCAGAGGGTCTCATTGCGGGTAACAAGCAGTGGCCGCCTTGATCCAGCGTACTCAAAGAGCACTTGGAATTTCTGCCTTTCTGCCTTTCTGCTTTTCGACGTAGTTTAGTAATCTGGCAGTCTGAAGTCGACTTCAACTTTTCTTGGCGGCATGAACCGTTGAGGCAAAACTCACGTGAACGACTAGCCGGGATGAAGGTTGGCACAAGTTTTCGAGGTCAGGATGAACATGATGTCAGCTTTAGCAGCAAAGTCGGTGTGAGGTTTTGAGTGTCCAAGTTGACATGAACTTTTGAAATCGGCTTGAGTTTTCAAGTCGCTCTTAACGTTGCGAAGTTGGCTTGGGTGTCGAAGTCGGTTTGAACCCGACTTCGAAGTCAGTGTGGGCATTCCAAAGCCGACTGCCGAAGTAGGGTGGAGTGCATTAAAATTTTGGTAGGTTTGGCGTTCCATAGGAGTCAAGTGTCTCGGACACTACGTCCTGCAACATCCGTCGCAGGTCTCTTGGGGGCTCCCGGTCACCATCAGTGATGATGAGGGTCGAGTCTCGGACTCTACCTTGTTTGCTGCATCTGCCAGGACTTCAAGTCTGGCGTTGGCGTTGCAGTGAGTTGCCATGTGTTGCAGTGAGTTGATCTTGGATGGTGAATTCCCTTGCTCATCGAGCTAGAAAAAAGGGCCTATTTATACAAACGCGAGCCCGCCTTTTTTCAGGCGGCAGAAACCGGCAGGGTGTGTGACAGACAGACTTTACCAATACATGTTCCATAAGTAGTTAATTACCCTCGGCGTGCATGCGCAGCGAGGGTACGGTGGTTGGGTCTGTCTGTCTGTCTGTGTGTGTGTCTGTCTGTTACTCTCCATCTCACTTCTTGAGTGTTCTTTGGTCTCACAAGGGATGTCAGACTCTCCGCGAGCTACTAGCGTGGAGACCACGAGTAAATGCATACTAAAAGCCCAGCCCATCAATTAGTGGTATAGCACGTGCGCAGTTCGCCGAGGGTTTTCACTTCAGTGCTTTTCATTATGCAAGGAATTTAATCGAGCTTATCCGTGTGTTACTGCAGCAGCGCACAATTTTATGAAAACTGCCTTTGTTATGCACTCAATAACATAACAATAACAATGTATATCGTTGTTGGCTCAGATTACTGCTGCCTCTTTCTCTCATGTTTTTGCTCCATTGTGTTTGCGTTGCGTGTTACTGACATAAAGAGACCACGATCAAAACTCATAAACAAATGACCCATTGCTTAATTTAGATCTATCAAACAGCACAATACTACAGGCGTCTGAAATAGTGCTTGTACGGTGTATACTCATCCCGAGGATTATATTCGAGCTCTAGGAACTTTTAGTTCTTGCACGTAGGTTTTTTAATTCCTCTGTTGTGGATGGAGTGTACTCACACTCTTGAAAGTGTGTTGTAGGTATCCAGTTGACTTGAATCTCCAAGTGTTGTAGTCATAATTATCACACTAAAAGAGACCATCGCTGGAATGTAAATGGGCAAAACGTTACATTAATTTTTTTGAACTCATTGGGGTCTATGGGCATCACAACTATCAAGTTTAGCTTCAGCACTAGTTCAGGTGTGGAAAAACAGCAGGTAGAAAAACAACAGTCTCATTCTCCCATTCGTCTTTGACAAATTGTTGGAAGCAAAAACAACTCATAATGTCCTGTTGCATGTACATGTAGCTGACATGCCAGAACATGACACAGGACATGCAGGAATATTTTTGCAATTTGTCAAAATAACACTGTAAAATGGGCACAATGCAATCGTGCACGCGTGTGCGGATGCAGGTGCAACTTCTATTTAATGCTCACTTTCTCTGCACCCGTATAAATGTATGGGACCCAAACTCGTTAATATACATGTATTAATAAGGCATGAAACCATAGCCTTAAAAAATTCCAAAACCTTGGTGTGGTACAATTCAACCTATTACGTTAAACAAAAATGTGGTTAGGTATATACCTCATTAAGATGAAGCATTCACACTACTAAACACCTTTGTCTGTGGGACTTTCCTATCAACCAGTTGTTTATATTATTGCCTTGATACCAAAGTGAGAAGGGAACACCCTATTCACCTCATGTACAAATTTGTTTTTGTATTATTTGTGTTAGGTGGGGTCCGTGAGGCAGCACCAGGTGAAGACAAACAGGATGTCATTAATGAGGCTGGAAAGCAGGAAATCCCGCTTACCCTGGTCAACAAATTTGAAGGATTAGCACAGGATGATAGCTCTGACATGAGAGCTCTTTTTGTCAGGTATATACGTGTGTCGTTACTTTCATTGTTTCAGAGAAATTTTGCATTGTATTTAGCGGTGTAAACGCAAAAATTCTACGAAGCAATATTGAGAACAATGTTTTCCCACACTCGATGCCCATGTAGCCTCAGAATATTATGTAATCCCTTTGGGCGCCATGGGTATCACCATAAATAAGCAGAAATTGATCTATAACATATTAACGCCTAGTGTTATACCCATATATAAGTTCTTATGGACTTATGGAGGCTCTTGGCATATATATATATATATATATATGCCCGTGGTTGGCTAAGGGTTAATTGATAAAAATTGCGCAATGCGTGCAAGTTGATGTGAATGGGTATCTTAGAAACAGAAAACATCTACCATGGCAAAAAAATCTAAAATGTGTCAAGTCCAGGTTTTTGTTTTCACTAGGTTTCGTTTATGCCATTCATAAAGTTGTTGCAGTGAATTTGTATATGTTTATGAGTAACACTCATAAATCTCTGTGGCACTTTCATGGCAGCAAACTTCCACGGTTGCATTCAGCGTATTTAGCAGTATAGCAAATCATAATTGCGTCAATGTTTTTCCCACATGCGATGCTCAATTATCCTCAGAATTGGGTTTAAAGTATTTTATAACCACTCCATTAAATCCACATGGATCTAATTCTTCCAGTCCAATAGTAGTGAGTACTAAAAGCAAAGCCTGACAAAAAGTGTGAAATGCATACAAAAAGCCATAGACTACCATTCGAATGCAACTGAACTGTTTGATTGCGGCATATTAATAAAAATGTGCAATGACTTGCCAATAAAAATAAGCGAGTGATTGGGCAAGCGAAGCGAGCCCACCTACAGTAGGGGTCAAAAAATGTTTCCAATTTCGTTCCGTTCCGTTTCGTTGAGCTTTCGTTCCCTTCTGAAACGCCGTTCATTTACCGTTGGAATTTGTTCCGTTCCGTTCTGTTCCGTTTAGAATCGTTGCCATACATGCGTTCGCGTGAGGGCCGCCATTCGCGAGATGCGAAGGCTTCACTGTGAAGATCTTTCTTCTAGCACCTGCGTGGGTACTGCCTACTCGTTGTTTCGCGTTTTCGCTAAGAAAAAAACCTTGTTTCGCTCCCCCTCTAGCGAGTCTCTAGTCTCTCTACCGCGTTTGCGGAGGGCGTGTCACGTGGAATTCACAACTGAACGGAAATGGAATGGAACGATAGTGAACGGCAAACGGAAAGAAACGGAACGAAATTGGAAACATTTTTTTGACTCCTACTGTAGATATTTTTTCAGTGCGAAAGTTCCTTATACATTAACGGCGCTGCACATACGACTATGTATCTCACGTCAGTCCATGTAAAAGTGCTATTAGAGCTAGACTAGCACTCGACAACACTCATAACCTTATTACCATTCATCACTTTCTATAATATTCTCGAATGCCTGGAGAGACCTATCAGTTCCAGCTTGTGAAGTAACTCTTTCTATGGTCAGAAGTGGCATGTATGAAGCAGTCTCCCGTGGCTTGTAAAGGAGTTCGAGACTTCGAGTCAATGGAAAGACGCGATTTAGATGGCCGAGGGGCCCTGGGCTGTGCTGTCTACAAGGCCGTCTAAATAGTGTATTTCACTCACAGTATCAGAAGCTGTCCTGACTGTTGCCGTGAACTGTGCTATTCATGATTGGCTAGATGAAGCTAACACTTGATACTTTCTGCACGCCGACACCTTTAAGCATCCTGGTAGGCATGCTGAAGTGAGAGCTTAGAGTCATTGCGAGCGAGTTCTCCGCACAGATGCTTGCCACACCTCTGTCGAAGACGGCATTGTTTGTGGGGGCATCTTTGTGGAAATGTACACTTGCTTCTACGAGATTTAGATCCATGTTTGCACCCAATGTGATTGGTCAATTTTAACTTGACGAGTATAATCATGGCTAGGTTTTATTCATTCCTTTAGATTTCTATGCATTTAACATTTTTCTTAGAACAAAGAGGATGGTAGTAGATGTTCTGAAGGTTCAACCAGGTGACAATCTTACTGAGATCCTTTATACACCGGCTACTCCTGAGCAGGTAACATTAAAGCTGGCTATTATTGTGTATGGGATAGACAAAACAAACACAGTTCTTCAACATGGAACTTTGTCTAGGCAAAGCATAGTCCAATCAAAGCTGTTAAATGAAGCAAATGTAAATCTGCGGGAAGAGTATCAAGGAGTTATCACTTTAAAAACCGCATTATAGCGTAGACTTGCCATGATGCTTCCTGTCTTAGTTAGTTTCCCTTTAATCTGATGTGTGGTTTTGCTCTGTCAGACCTAACTCCTGTGCTATTATAAAAGCACGAAAATGGTAGCTAAGTTGAGTGGGTGGTTTTTTGGAACTCGTTTGAGGGCTCAGATCATGTCAGTTTTCAGACACTTCAGTTTTGTTTGTAGCAATGTAAACATTGAAACAAGTGCCTGGTGTGCAAGTCTATGTTCTTTGTGCTATGTAAGTGATAGCTGTGGGTGCACCTCTACTACTAAAGCCTAAATCTATGAATCTATGAATCTATGAGTCTGACTTGCAAAAGCTTACAAATACGTAACCAGTGTTTACCTGCAGGCCTTAGATGAATGAGAGCTATTGGGAGATCTGCTATGTTCACAGACCTGCATTGCCATTCCTAATAGGATTTATCAACTCTACACTTAACGTAGTAATACTAGAAGAGTATATATGCGCCTAGCCTCCCAAGTCGTGGTCTAAATCGTCCCCGTATTAAAGCTGTAGTTATATTTGTTTGCATAAAAATAGGAAGAAGAGCACCAGCAGTTGATCCAGAACAGAGAGGTGTCTGAGCAAGCACAAATGTCACGCAGCAAAACCATCAAAAAATCAGACTCAATGTCTGGAGATAGAAAGTAAGTGTTTTATAACCATTTCCTTATGACTGAAAAGCATTAAAATGCAAACCTTCGTCGAACTGCGCATGCGCCATACCGCTAATTGAGCATGCGGGAGTCGATACATGCCCTTAGTTGTGACTTATTGTGCCTTCAAGATACACAGAGTGAACGGACCCGGTCGAGGTCAGCCGCGCCGCGGATTTCAAACGCGTATAATAATACGCATGCACACCGCTAATTGATGGGTTGGGCCATGCAAGTCGGTCCGTGACCGTGCCAGTTTCTCGCTCTCGAACACAGTTGTTTCAGGAAAATCGAAAATTGCCTAATTATTCTTCAGGTTCGCGTAGTGCTGAACACGTTGGTATCGCTCATGGGCTGCCTCGAACCCTGTAGTGCGAGAATAGCTGCTGACAGACAACAGACAGACGGATACACACTGACCAAATACCGTAACCCTCGCTGCGCATGAGCGCTGCCGGTTAATTATGATTCTTGGGAGTGAGATTTGTTGGCACAGTTACCATTCATGTTGAGCCACCTACCCTTGTCCCCAGCCTCCCCTCCAGAGAGAGCCTGGCACATGACACCATTTTGAAACAAAAAATTGGGCCTTAGGAATGCTGTTGGCGTACACAACCCAACTCCCTGTCTGCTGAGATTATCATACCGTGGCCAAGATAGAGACAAGAACTTTGCTCAGCAAGTTGCAACACAACTTCACTGACCAGCCTAGCCATCGGGCATTCAATATAGGTTTGGCTTGCAAGACTAAAAACCAACCTCAAAGCTCCACGCAGACTGCACGGTTTCTCACTTGTGTACATGTGCTGTCGGTGAAGCAGTGCTTTGATTGGTATTGCTTCTGGGCTACAAGTGGTTATAGCCCAGACCACATGCACCCTTGTGTGTAACATTACATGGTAGGGATGGTGTCATGTATCTTTGTGTATCTTTGCTGGGTGATGACCCCTTGTCTCTTCCTTTTTGGTGCTTCGAGCCATCCCTACTTATATCCCCCTTCATTTTGAAGAAATGATTTTTCCACTTGTTTCCACTATTTTTAATGAACAGCTATGACAACATAGCATTTTCTTATTACCGTCACCATGATTTGCATGGGTATGTTGTATGGTTGATCATAGGGATGGCTGAATTCTATCTCGTTGAAAGCAGTAGCTATGGCTGCTTATGCCTGATCAGGGGGCAGTAGACAGAGACTGTCTGTTGTCTCCAATGACATAATTAGGTTGTGCACAGGATGGTGGTTTCATTGGCAGGCTCTAGTAATCAGACTACAATGTAATAGCTACAAGCTGGGACACAAACGACAGATGGAAGCGTAACTATATGCGCACGCAGCTCTCTGCACACAGACTGCTCGTGAAGTTGCTCCCGTGCTAACTTACAGAAGGGACTGGACACTGAGAATTCCCCACATGTCTGTCAATAACCGCCTGGACAACGACAATCGCCAGGTGAATGCGCATGCGACACTTCATGCATCAGGACGACGCCCCTTGTTCTCGGCGCATGCTGCTCACTGCTTGCCGAGTTAGCAGCAAATAGCGTCGTTCAGTGTCTCTCATGGAAGAGCTCCACGATCTACCGCAGTGACTTGCGACAAAAAGGAAACGATCGCTTGATGTCCGTGCACACCATTTGGAGATGTTCTGTGAAAAAATAGCGCTTCAACTTGTTCCAGTAAGATGTAAAGCTAGGTATGGGCACGTATTGGTGTATTTTGAAGGCATAGCGAGTCATTCTCACCGAATTTTTTGGCATTTTGTACGCGGATCACGTGAGATTTGACCCGTGCCATCCCTATATAGAGCGTTGGTAGACGCTCTAATATTATCAACATATGAGTGCCCAATGCAGCTTTTAGTTTTTGGTCGGGAGTAATTTCAGTTTTTACTTGTTATATTTTTTAGCCTTCCACTGGAGGGCATGAAGAGAAAGATAATGCGCAATCTTCGTACTTTGGAGACAGAGGGTATGGTGGACAGCAAAAATGACTACCAGGAGATCATCAATGCTATTGCAAGGGTATGGGTACAAGTGCCATTTTAGGCTTTTTATGTTGTGCTCACCATTATGGTTGCATTTACATATTACAAACCTTTGGTTGCTATGCACCATAACTAGAAATTATTGCACCTATCCCTTATATATGTTGGGGACCAATTAAAAACCAGAAGCCCGTTTTTAAGCCGTCCAGAGAGATTTTACGCGGTCCAGACCAGTTTAAAGCCGTCTAGAAGCCGTCCAGCCCGATTTCCAGACGGCTTTAAAACTGTCCAGTCCGATTGAAGGCCGTCAGGAAGAAGCAACCTATCTACCAGTCGCTACTGTCCAGCCCTGATTTTGCAATCTACCTCAGCAGTTGGCCGTGAACTTTGACATTCGTCCCACCCAGGGCTAGCTGTCACCACGTGCTGAGAAAACGCTCAGCAACAGAGAACCTGCTCGCAAATATGCCCGCCGTGGTTAGCTAATCAGTCCGGGGACCTAGCGCAAGGTATACTCACCCCACTAGGCAATCCTGTGTCGACAGAGGCTATTATTTATCAGATGGTCAGGTCTCCCTACTTGCGTGGGACCTGACAAGTAGCCCCCGGGGTGCACGGTAACTATATGAAATAGCAGTGAGGGTACTAGAGGGTGCAAACTTCCCCCTTCTGTCCCATGCTAATCTATGACAGTAGCGTTCAGTGATGGCTGAAGCACATGCACATGTGCAGTGATGGTTGCGGCCTTTGGTCCATGTGTCTGTCTGTGTGGCTATTGCCTCGGTTGACGGCCAGAAGACTATGCCGATGCTTTATTTTGGAAGTGGTGCAATATGGCACCAGGACACAGTTTGTTCAGGGGTTGTGGCGTGAGGGCCTGGTAAGCATGGTTTACCGCGGTTTAGATTCTGCCCGTATGGTACACTGCAGGCATGATCTTCTTGAACACATGGTAGGTGGCTACAACCATCGTGCACCTACATACTGAGTGAGAGTATACTGTGCCATAGCCCTGTGGTTTGAGGTGTGCATTTGTGTGGTGTTGTGTTGTGTTGTGTTGCAGATTCGAACCCCTACCAGCTGAGTTTCCCTGGTAGCTCAGTTGGTAGAGTGCTCACCCAGACTGCAGAGTGTCGTGGGTTTTAATCCCACCCAGGGCAACTCTTCTTCTTTTCTTCGAAAAGAAAAAGCTGTCCTGGGTGTAGTTGACTTGTTTGCCTTGCCTTGCCTTGCCTTGCCTTGCCTTTACCTCGCTACCAAGTTGTGAGACATGCATATACTCGGTTTGGAGTTGGGCATCTTTGGTGGTTTAATTACCCCGGTCTGCTCCTACATACTGAGTGAGAGTATACTGTGCCATAGCACAGTGGTTTGAGGTGTGCCTTTGTGTTGTAGATTCGAACCCCTACCAGCTGAGTTGCCCTGGTAGCTCAGTTGGTAGAGCCCTCGCCTAGACTGTGTTGTGGGTTCTAATCCCACCCAGGGCAACTCTTCTTTTCTTTGAAAAGAGGGTGTAGTTGACTTGTTTGCCTTGCCTTTCTACCTCGCTACCAAGTTGTTGAGATATGCAGGTAGGCTCACGTGGCTCGCCCTTGTAATGATTAAACTTGCTATGCAGGCACATAAGGATGCAAACACAGTGTTCAACATACCGTAGTGGTAGCAAAAACTTTAATTGCGGTAGTTCCTCCTAATGGCAGTAAAGTCAAACTTCTAAACGACAGAAATGCAACAAAGACAAATGCTGGGTCTGGGGCTAATCATGCAAACAGGTTGTGTGTGGCACGTTATTTACTGAACTTCATCATGTACTCTAAGTATTCTTGGAAGCCAGAAACAAATTTTTGTTGCGTAATCTCCTTATGAGATTTGTTATATAAGTTTTGGCATTGCTTACAGCTGTTGCAACAAATCCCATGTGGCACTTAGCAGCGATAAATTATTGGCAATAAAGATTATTTCTGTGTCACAAAACCTAATATAAACCATGTTCCTAATTATGTATTTTACTATTAGTAATAATGGGTATATACTGCAGGATATTCGAAACCAACATCGATACCGC